CTGACCTTGCCCTACAAATCCTATGTTGTTTTCTAGAGAACCAAAAAGTAAGCATTGCTAACGTACCTCAAACATGCAGGCATTTGAATAAATGATTTACGTAGCATCAATAGTTGGTATCCCATAAGTCATAAAGCATATATCTAAACCCAGGAACTGATACTTTAGGAGGTAAATTTGAGGAGTTGACAAAAAGTTAAGTTTAATTTTCCTCTTGAATTCTGTAGAGAAACTCTGAAATGTAAGAAAAAAATAAAATGACTACATTGGAAATTTGGGGAAAGTTTCAGAAATTCTTGACTAAATAATAACTAATTAAACACTCAATCTTCATTATAGGCAAGAGAACCTCTTACAAAATTGCTGGCAAGAAAAAGTATGTATTATAAAATCTTCTCATAATGCAGCATATTAGTGATTCTGAACAATTTGTCATAACAGTAAAATATTGAGAATCAAGTAACTTTGAGAGTCCTTTATTGATATTACTTGGTCTCCTTCTCTGCTCTTTTTACTTCATTGAATTTTATTTTCTGTTAATTATTGTATTTTGTGGTGACCCAAAGTTGTTATCAGCAGACAATGTTGGCCCCTCAGAAAAGGGTCTCATAGAATGGGAGAACATTAAGGCACCATGCTACAGTGAACAGCATTGAACATCACAGTCCATTGTATCATGGGAAACCACTAATTAACATGACTGCAAACATTTCTGGTCAGTTCAGTAGTAGGGAAGCTGGAATGCCTGGATTCTTCTTTAGCATATTTCAAGGGAATGGACCTAGTACATAAAAAGGTACCCAATCACCTATGAGCTGATACTTGGAACAGGCAAAGATAAGCTCATATATTTTTATAAAGCTCAATTCTGGATCTAGACAGATAAGTTAATAAAGAGCAGAAGTGTGAAAACAAGATACGGTATGACATACTATTCCAGCAAATATTAAAAAAAAATATTGACTCAAGGTAGTATTTCTTAGTTTACTAGAATAATGGGAAACAATTGAAAAATAAGCTTCTATTTACCATGTTTCACTGCATGGAAAACTTTAGCAATGCCCCTTGTTTGTACATCCAGCTTGGGCACTATTTTCTACACTTAAGCTAAGAATAATAATGTATATCTATTACTTATTATGTCTTGTAATTATATATATAAGTAGTCTTAGTTTATATTTTATATGTTTTATTGTCTATTTAGAATAATTCTGCTAAAATTAAGTTTTATTCTTTAAAATATTTTATTCAAATGGGTTTATGCATGAAAAATATTTTACAACATATGCTGTCATACTTAATTGTTTTTTATAGCACTAGCCATGATCTGTCCAATAAGCAATTAAACATACGTTAGGATATTGGTGTTGTAGCCAGATAAAATGACATTTTCCAAGGATTCCTGTATGCTCTCAAATGTACCAAGAGAGTTTGCTGCACAGATGTTAAATATTCTTCAAATGTAGCCCTGAAACATTAAAAAAGACTAGTTTGGGGGATAGTTTGGGTGTGAACAGCCCCATTACAGGAGTGATATTGTTTACACTGGTGCCTACATACCAGCCTTCCAGGATTTGCTGCCAAGTTCTCGTGTTTATAAAATGTATGTTTTAAGAGTTATAACAATAAGAAAAAACCCTGCTACTTTATTATAAACAAGATGACCTTTGCAAGCTCCAAATATATTTTCAGTAAGTAAGTAGAGTTTTGTAGACATTCTACAGGTGCATTCTGTTTCTATCCTTGAACCAGTTTGAATCTATAGTAACACCAGTGACCACTAAGGAAGCAGTCATTCATATCTGGTTCCTGGCCTTATACTTTCAACTCCTACTAAGGATTCCTCCCACTTCCATGTCCTTGCTCAGCCTCCATAGATTTATTATTTTTAATTCTAAAATACTGTTTTTTTCTTTAAAAAAATATTATTTTATCTACTTGTTTGTTGTTACTATTTTCTAGTTTGACCAGAGATACAGAGAGATAGGGAAAGTGAGAAAGCAAGACACCAGTTCCAGGACTCAAACCATAGTCAGCCATGTGGGAGTTCAGTGCCTCAACAATCACACCACCTGCCAGCCCCCACTTCACACCTCTTAGGTTAGCTATTTTTTTATACCACTAACTTAACTTTCTTTTTCCTTTAATTTTTTTTTAAAATTTCAATTTATTTTATGCATTCAATCACATGCTACTTAGCTTGCAAAGTGAATATTCTGACACGTGTACATTTCTCACTAGTCTAGTTAATAATTTGAAAACTAAAGTGTTATTTTTCACTTCATCATCTGCTCTTAGTTCTCTTGTCTAAGCTAGTTTTCACTGATACTCGCTGTTGAGTATCAAAATATTCAATTTCTATAAAGCATAAACTTTTATTACTGTCTGTCAAATTATTCTTAGCAATTAGCTTAAGTCACTTCCATATACACAGGTCATAGTCTTAGCCTTGTGGAAGGGAATGGGGAGGTAGGTGGTAGTTTATCTTCTAGCCTCATATCTAATAAAATGACTGCATCAAATATAATGACTGCATAATGACTGCATCTGTTTTGAGAAATATTTCATTAGAAAAAATTTTGTGCAACTTTAAAAACTTTAACAGCATCATAAGAACCACACTTGCCAAAATATTTGCATGCTATATGCCTAGATAACACTTTAGCAACTATTTCCTTAACCCAAAGTTAATTTATCCCAGCAATAAATGCTGAAGGAGAAGGAGACTTTTGAGGGACTTTGAATAAAATTATATCTATGCAGAAAATACTTTATCATATTACAGAATGAAGTATCTTGGTATTAATCTAAAATTTTAAATACATTCTTTGTCTATATGTTCTACATAAACCATGATGCTATTCTAGCTGTACATTGTTTGATATAAAAAATTAAATACTATCTTCTCTCTCCAGAATATAAATTGTTGCATGACTTTCTTTTCATCCTTGCCTGCCTCCTTTCCAGGTAACTTCTGAAGAATTGAATAGTATAATTCAGAATGTAATGACCTGGGTCGTGGCTACAGTGACCAGTATACTATACCCAGCCATCACGAAGTATGAAGAAAGGCTGCGAAATCATACATACCCAGTGTCTGATGACTCTGTCCTTTCTTCAGATAGTTCAAGTTTCTGTAGCACATGCAGTGAAGAGTTTACATATGGTAGTTACACAACTGCAGCAACAAAAACATTTCATGCAGAGCCCTGTGCATTTTCAGTTGATGTGTCAGTAAGGAGACCAACCACACCTTTAAGAGCCTCTGCCCACATGGAAAGAACAGTTGTGGGAAAAACATATCACAAGACAGGGCAATCTATAACTTCTGGACTGAAATATAATAAAGCTAACTTAATATATTCATATCCTAAGGTCAGAAGTTGCAAATCTGATAGTCAACTTTTAGCATCAGTTGAAACAGGCACCAAAAAGTCTAAAGATGCTACCACTGAAACAGATGGCCTAGGGAGTCCATTGTTTTATGATAAAAAAGCAAAAGCCATGGAGGAGATAAAGAATTTAAAGAATGTTTTTGTTAATTTTAAATGTCACTTGAAAGAGGAAACTCAATTGATTTTAGAAAGCATTTTTCAAGAAACAATGTCTGATTTAACTCAGGCCATTCCCTCCCTCTCTTCTGTCACTGCTGAAGTTTTTGTTGACCAAAGCGAGCCTGAAAAAGAAGATTTGCTCTCCAATGCTGATATTTGTTCAGTAGCTTCTGAAATTGTGGACAATATGCTTGAGAAGCTAGAGTGTGCAGTTGAGAAAAAGTGTGTAGAGATATTTTCACAAGAAGATTTGTCAGATGACGGTATGCCAAGCGTAACAACCAGTGGGGAAGGTCTCATATTACCAAATGAGAAAGTTTTAAAAGATTCACCACCTTATACTTTGGAACCTATGTGTGAAATAGCAGAGGATATGGTGCACACCATTTTAGAAAAGCTGATGACACTGACATCTTGTCAGCAAAACAAACTTCCTCATTTTGAAGATACAGGTAAACTTTACCATCAGCAAAATAAGACAGACCCAGCTTACAGATGCCTTCAAAGAGATGGTGAAAAACAATCTAGTTCTAAACCTAATGCATCTAATTTAATTGTCAAAGAAGAAATACAACATTTAATTACAAATATTTTTTCCCAGTCCTCTTTGCTTGGTTACATAGAGGATGCAGTCAGTACTATCCTAGGTTATGTACAAACTGAACTGAATAATGAGAGACTTATTGCATCTGAAGAAACAGTAGTACTCCTTCGACTACTCGATGATATCTTCACGGAGCTCCATCAGGAGCCAGTGAAAGCAGGAGTTCAAAAAAGCAAACGACCTAAACTAAGAGATCCATTGGATATTGAAGAAAAGTACAGAGTCATTGGCACTAGATTTTCTCAGGAACCTAGATCCAGAAGACCATTTCCACCTATTAATGTTCCAGGCATGGTTCTTTATTCTGAAGATGATAGTGAAGAAATAGAAAAAATTGTGGAAAATGTGCTTGATTCATCTTTCAAAGATGAAAAAGCAAAATTACAACAGCAGATTCCCGAAAACTGGTTTAAAAAGAGAAACAATTGTTTTGAGTACAAAAGAAATATCAAACCACCTACAAAGCCTGCTTCTCAAAACAAAGTTGCATTTCATGATTGGGGGTTAAAGACTGAGTTACCATCTAATAATGAAGATATTTTCATGGAAAAACCCTGTTTAAGTAAAGACATTCCAGTTTTTAATCAAGATCAAAAGCATCAAATACAAAAGGCTTCAGAAAACATAATTAAAAGTATTTTAAGAGAATTGCTCAAGGACCTATCTTCTGTTCCTCCTGATCACTCAGACAGCCGTACTGGCAAAGAAGCTTCAGTACATGTTTCAGAAAAACTGTCACATCGAGAATGCATGTACCAGATGTTCTCCAGGTCAGAAATTAGTACAGTGGCTCAAGAAATAACAGAGGCTGTGTTAAATATACTTCATAAGGCATCAAGCTTCATTTCCAATACCACTAAAAGTTCTATGTCATCATCAGTTCATCAAACTTCTCTAGATAATTCTGTTAGTCCCCATATGTTCAAAGAGGCACCAAATAAAAAGCCATTAAAAATATGGTTTGACAGTGAAAAGAAAATGAAATATTTATCTTCAGTTAATGTAGAACCTGAAAATTCATCTTGGTTAAACTCTGGAGAAAGTGAACCTAAACCTGTGGATCACATAGGTGATAAGATCATTCATACAATTTTTAAAAGGCTAAAGTCCTTTGTTTGTCCGAAATTGCAAATGGACTTCAAATCTTCCCTTGACAAGCAATCTTCATTACAATCTCAACTTAGTACCTATACAACTAAAGTAGTAAACATTGTTTTGCATGCAATCCAGAATGAATTGGAACTGAATAAGGAAAAACTAAATCTTGTGGCAGACCATACCAAATCCCTCACAGGTAAAGGACTTTTTGTCAATGCTGACAAGAAATTAGAATCCTTTGTAACAAATCTGAATGATGAGAGTATATCAAGTCCATTATTAACTTTTATTTGTGATCTGTTATCAAATGGACATGCAGATCAAAGAAATATCTTACCTCCTGAAGATAAGCCAATGTCTGCAACTTCATGTGAATCTGACAACATTGATAAACAAAAGATTTTGCTAAATAAGCAGGATAAAAAATCTTTTCTCAAACTTTTGGCTACACCTTGTACAATCCACAGTGTCATTAATAGAAATGATCTCAAAGAAAATGCCAAACTGCAAGTGTTGGACAGAATTGGGGAGACACTCCATGAAATGTTAAGTAAGTTAATTGGAACACATCCTCACTCTCAGCCACACTGTTGTCAGCAAGACAGAGAAAAGATGAAGGAAGATCAGGAATTGGCTGTTGCATTGCAGTCTAATATTCAGCTCATATCCAAAACAATTTTGGAATATATCCTAGCAAAATTATGTAGTATTGACACAGATACCAGTTTTGTAAGTTCTGGGTTTAATGCTGTCTCAGAGTTTCTTGACATTGACAGCCTATCATATGATTCAATTATTGAGGAGATGGCCAAATGTACCAACATGATCTCCAACATAGTTTCCAGAATGATTCAGGATGGTAATACAGAAGTTACTAAAAACAAGGCAAAAAATATAGTCCCTATCACTGCTAGAACAGAGAACACAAAAGGAATGCACTCAAATAAACTAAAATCTGTAGCTTCAGATATTCTTAGTATGGTTTTTGATAAACTGGAAGGGTTTGCCAATGGAAATTTAGAAACTCTGGGTGTTAGTAATGATGGAAATAAAAAGAGTGATAAAATGGACTGGGAATGTGGAAGTACCAGTGTTTCCACAGGCACACATGAAGAACCACTGCAGTCTGCATTATTCATGCATGCGAAGAAGGTATCAAGTGCTATTTTGAAGGCTATTCACACAGAATTAAATATGAACTCACCTGATTTGAGGACAAATATAAAAAACCCGCCACCTGAGACACAAATGCTTAAGAATATAGTAAATTTAATTTTAGATGCAATATCCTCAGATATATTTAATGAAACTGAATCCGAAGGGAGTGGCATTGAAACTTACCGGTATAGGCCAACTTACGGAAATTTTCTTCCTGGAGGAGCTGAATCAGATTCATTTCTAGAAGATGATGGAAATACAGAGAAAGAATTCATTGGAGAGACAACACCCATAATAGAAGAAACTAAAACTAATTCTCTTAAACAAAGGGTTCTAGAAAGAACTCTAAACAAAATCGAAATGAAACTCAAAGAACCACATAAATCTCCAATAATCCCTATTGTAAGAAATATTTTGAATGAAATTTTTCAAAGCACTTTAATCAGTCAATTAAATGTGCTTCCTCTCTCCCATTCTCATTTTAGTGTCACACCTCACAATCCTGATGCTCAAACATCTCTTCAATTTATGAATAAAATAATGGATCCTTTAGTATCTGATACAGATGTAACCATAGTGGCAGATAATGTTGTTAAAATTGTATTTCATAAACTTTATTCAGCTGCTGTGACTGAACGTAATGTAAGTGAAAATAGGCAAAAAACCATCACATTTTCAGCAAATGTTTCTTTTCATGAACAGACCTATCAAGGAAAGTCCTCTGCTACTGTGTTGGACAGAAATCCTTGGACTCATCAGTCCAGATTCAGTGTTGACAAACAGAGCAAGATAAATGTAGTTGAAGATATTATACAGGCAATATTAACAAATTTAGAAACTTTTACTACTTGTAAAGTAAAATCTTTCTTTTGCCCCCAAGTCAACATCACAGTTCCAATGGCTGTAACTAGTGAACAGGATAAGAGTCCATTGAGCAAAGAACCATTATCAGCCAATGATACGTATTCTGATGAGCAATTTACCTGTTATCCAGTAGATCATAATAGTTCAGGAGAGACCAACTTGTTATGTCAGAGATCTTTCTCTAAATTAAATACTTATGCAAAAGTAGTGGCTAGAAAAATTTTAGAAGGAATCAAACATGAGTTAGATAAAGAAAGAGAAAAGCCTTCCTTAACTCAAAATGTTGTGGTTTCTGAAAGTATTGCAAGTCGAATTGTGGAGACAGTGTTAGATGCTGTATCATGTAAGAGCAAATGTGACAAAAACAACTCTGACAAAGAGTTTGATGCATATCAGCAAGAAGATATTATTGAAAAGCTAGTCAATAAGAGAGAATATCGAAAAATCCTTCAGTTTCAAATACAAGACACTATTGAAGATATCTTATGTGATATTTACAAAAAAACACTGTATCAAAATAACCTCTCATTTGCCACACCCACTCTAAAATGTAGCATAACTGGTAAACATTCAGAAGCAAATTCTGAAATGTTCATTAAGGGTGCAAATAAGTTTATTCTTAAACCCTCAGTTCCTAAATCAGATGTCACTTTGATATCCAGTGATATAGTGGATATCGTTCTGCATAGTCTCCATTCTGCTGTTATGCTTGGCATAAATACAAAAGATTCTACATTTGCAAGATTGCCCCAAACCTCCTGTGAGATGTTTCCAAAAGCAGAGTGTCAACAGTCAAAAAATAAAATAAAAACAGAATGTGTTCCATGTTCAAGAAGTCACAAATCAGCTTATTCTGCTAATAATCAAATAACTGTAGTAGAAAAAGAAGATGCCAAGAAATTTGCTCCTGACCCATGTGAGGAAAATGCTAACTTCATTACTAAAACTATTTTCAGTAGGTTAGAATCTTTTGCCACAGAAAGAATAGACTCGTTAATTACTCTTGATTTCCAGCCTAAAGAAAAGTCATTTGTTAGCCCAGTATTGGAAAATTATAAACCAGATGACACCGCCTTTCATGACTCAAGCCAAGTGGAATCAGATATAAATGTCCTGAAAATATCAACAACTGAAACCATTCTCAGCCAAGAGTTCACAGATTCAACTTTTGCCAGTTACCGAGAAAAACTTGGATCCACAATTCATCTATCACCAGCTAGCCTTAAGGAATATGCTGATATCATTTCCAGTGCCATTTTGAAGCTTATTAAAAATGACTTAGACTTGGAAATCCAAAAGAGGTATCCATTTCCAAGCAGTATTGCATTCCAAGAAAACATCATTGTAAGTGAAATTATCAATGGTATTTTAAAGATTTTACATGACAAAAGATCTGTAAAGGAAATTAGTGTTTACTCAAAAGAGAATCCTAACTTTTCACAATTAACTGCATCAAATGAAATATTGGCAGAATGCAGAGAGAAAGAAAACATCGAATTGTCTCTATTTTCAAAGTGTCCATTAGGACAAAATCAAATGACAATGGCAAAGGAAAGTCAAAGGGTTGTTCTAGAGAAAATATTTATGAGAAATGGAGAATCAAAACAAAAGGAAAGAACTGAATTGCACAGTGCCGTGGAAAAACTTTTGAATAAGTTACATCAAAGAGTAATGGAAATCATGTGCCAATTGCCTCAGTTTGATGAGTTTCACCACTTTACATCTAATTCTAAAATTAAAACATCAGACGTACCACAAAATTTGGTTTTTCAGTCACATATCAACAGCGTAGCAAATGACATAGTTGAAAGCGTTTTAGGAAAAATGTACTCCGTAGTTGAAATGTCATTATACAAAAATAACAAAAGTAGAGGAGAAACAGAAACATCTGATGACAATGATGCCTTGCCAATAAACACATCGTACTCTGGAGGAACTAACCAAACAGAAAAAAGAAGTAATCCCTCAAGATGTGTGATATCACAAGTTTATGCAGACAGTCAAAATGTCTCTGTGTTAGAAGACAATATTTGTCAATATTCGCCATTGCAAGTGGGGAAAGATTTAGTGCAAATAGTTCTTACTAAGATCACATATTTCATCTCACTTCATCTTAAAGAATGTTTGTCCTCTGAAGGCTGTTCTGATGAGTTGCAACAACTAAGGCTCTATAGTTCTAAAGTCAGCCCTAAGAGCAGTCCCAGACTAGGCTTTAAAACAAGTTTAAAGGCAAAATCAAAAAGTACGCCTTTGCCCAAATTTAGAACAAAACCACACATAGGACCTAGTGGTGCTAGGGTCAAAAGCAAGACCAAGTTTGGTCTTGGAGAGAAGACTCTCAGAGAAACCCAGTCTAAGATCGCCATCGGATTGCCACATGTCCTATCAATAGGAGATGCCAAAAACTTACTGGAAAAAAGGCTGCCCACTTCAGAACTAAAAACATATGCCAAGGATATAATAAGTATTATCTTAGAAATAATTTTGAAAGAATTTGAGAAAGTGAAGCAAACTAGAGAAATGGCAAATATAAAAGCTTTGCCATCTGATCAAATTATGGCAGCAGGTAAAATGGTTAGTTCAGTTTTGCAAAAATTATATGCTATGAATAACCACAATATGGCTCATTCAACAAAATTCTCATATTTGAATGATCTCAAACTTTCACAGGGAAACAAAGATTCAGGGTCCCTTGCCAAACAACAAGCATGTTTTTACTTAGAGAATGTATCTTCACAGCTAGAACAGATCTTTCCGAAAGAAGGTATTTTTAAAAAAATGTTTGACAAATGGCAAACAGAGTCAAATGACATGGAAAATGAAAAATGTAAGCTACTGATGATAGCTGAAAATGTTTTGACTGAAATTTCAATAAAAGCCAAAGAATTAGAATATTCTCTTTCACTTTTAAATTTGCCTCCTCTTGAGGATTATAAAAGCAGGTTCTATAATCACTTTAAAGGAGTTTCTCCTAGGGCCAAGAATACTAAAGCACAAATTAATATGTTTGGAAGGGAAATTGTTGAAATGCTATTTGAAAAATTACAGCTATGCTTTTTGTCTCAAATGCCTACGCCAGATAGTAAAGAAGCACTAGCAAACAAGAAAGAACATCTTTCTGCTAAAAGTAAATATGGCTTTCCAAACAAGCAGAGCCTCAGGAGTTTACCAATCTGTAACACAAAGACAAATGAACAAACTTCTATGAGCTCTAGCAACCATGTTGTTCGAGATATTGTAGAAAGAGTTTTAAACATGTTAGAGTCATTTGTGGACTTACAGTTTAAACATATCTCTAAATACGAGTTTTCTGAAATAGTCAAACTGCCTATAGAAAATCTCTTTCCTGTCCAACAGAGATTATTAAGCAAAAAGATGTTGCCAAAATTACAACCACTGAAAAACTTTGCTGATGAATCCAAATCAAGTACAACTATTTCCAAGGATAACATACAGAGCACCCTCCTCCAGGCTCATTCATTCCATTCAGAATTACTTACCTATGCTGTTACTATTGTCAATGACATGCTTGGTGTAATTAAAAACAAATTAGACAAAGAAATAAGCCAAATGGAGCCATCTTCAATTAGCATACTGAAAGAGAACACTGTAGCAAGTGAGATCATTGGCACACTAATGGACCAGTGTACCAATTTCAGTGAATCTTTGATCAAAAACCTTCCAAAGGAAAGTACATTCCCTGGAACTGAAAATGCTTACATTGTTAATCAGGTTGAATTAGCATCTAAAATAAAAATGCCCACATCAAAGTCAAAGGAAGCTAGTTTGGGAAATAATCCTCAACAAGTGAATGTAGATGGTTTGGTGTTCTATGCAGAGGAAGATATTAAAGCAAAGTACAGAGTTCCAGCCAATTTTTCCTCATATATCAGATCCTCTTTAGAAGATACGATTAAAATCTCAGAGCCAATGGAAATGCCTGATTCAGAAACTATATCACCATGTTCTAGAAACAAAATACGAGACCACAGCCCAAAGAAATCTAACTTTGGCCATGTGGACGAGGCCATGAGAGGAAATAACTTTCTCCCTGAAGGCAGTGTTTTACAAAAAATGTTTAAGAAAGCAAATGACTCTACGGAAGCATCATTACAGCAAGTAATGTCATTCATAGAAATGGGAAAAGGTGAAAATCCAAGAGTGTTTCATTATGAGACCATTAAACCACGGGTTGAGCCAAACCAAATTCAGACAGCAGTTTCTCCACTCAAAATATGTTTAGCTGCAGAAAACATTGTCAATACTGTACTGTCCAACTATGGCTTTCCAAGTCAACCACATACTAATGAAAGCACAGAGACCATGAAACCATTTTTCATACCAAAGCAAAATACTTTGTCTGAAATATCTGGAGGAGAAAAGAATGAGAAAAATCTGCTTAGAATTTGGGATAAAAAAATCAACTGTATTTCTGAAGAAGAAAATGGAAACCCTGAAGACAGCAGAGGAAATGTTTCCTTATTGCAAAAATGGCAAAATAAGAAATATTCAAAGAAAAAGAAAATAGAGACTCTGAAAGAAGTTGAAGTCATTGCTTTTGCTGATCATGAACTGGGTCCGAATGAAATTCATTTGGTAGCAAGACATGTCACCACATCAGTGGTCACATATTTTAAGAACTTCAAAACTAGAGGTAAGAAAGAGATAATTTGCTTTAAAAGTTAGCATAATTTAAGAAAAAGTAGTATAAGACATACTTAAAAGATCTATCCAAGAAGATTTATTCAGTGTTTCCTGAATATAACCTTAGAGGTTGGGTGATTATTTAATTGCTCTTTATCAGTACACTTAAAAAATTAAAATGATAAATGCTTGTGTGGTTTGAAATTGAAAGGTGTGCTGCTCAGTTTTCTATTATCTGCAGATGAGAGAAAAAATCAGATTATTTTAAAAGTCAGGGATCTTGGTTGAGCCTGAGGCAAAATTCTAAAGTATTTTAAGTTTTTATGTATGCCTTCTTTATAATTATGTGGTATATATACTTAATTGATTGAAGTTATTCAACCTCTTTTCAAAGTGTATAGTTGAAATCCTCATCATTTTTGTTTGTTTTGGGAGAGGTTTTTGCTATAGGGCATTGTGCGCTCCAGAAAGACAGAGAGAGGCAGAGAGATAGAAAGTGAGAAATCACCTGCCCCCGGGGGATGGCTGCGCCACAATGCCCCCTCCTCCATTCTCCTCTTGGGATCTTGGGCACACACACACAGGCGCCCGGCGTGAGTTCCAAGCCACTGGGTCTGGGATGTGAACTGCAGTCAACTACATGGGAGTCCAGCGACATAGCCATTATGCTAACTGCTGATCCCTGTGTTCCAGTATTCTGACGTAAATTTTTTTTTAATAGTTGCACATGTTCTCATAAGAATTATGTTTGCATTCCTTTCTAAGAATACTCATTAGTATAGATTGAACTATGTCTAATAATCATTATTGTATATCGAAAACAGTTGATCATTGTCAATTTTATAAAATTCAATCCAATATTACTATAATAGCTATCAATTACCAGTAGCAAGTGTTTACAGTACTGCTTCAGAGACATCATCTGTCCATCATTCAAAAAAGAGAACACATATTAACAATCCTATACACCTGCAAAAAGACTATTTTCCTTGCTTAAAATCACTATTGTCAAAGTGGACATATATGCAATTTCATTACAAATTCATAAGCAGAATTTATTTACGCATGATGAATTGATCTTAGAAAATAAATAAAACATGGGGCTGGCAGGTGGCATGGTGGCTAAGGGCACTGGCTGACTGTGGTTCAAGTCCCTGACCTTGTGGCTTGCTTTCTTCTCTCTCTCTCTCTCTCTATCCCTCCCTCCCTCTTTGGTCAATTAACCTTAATTAATTAATTAACTAGCTAATTAATTTTAAAAAGAAGTTATAAAATAAATAAAATAACCAAGAGAAGATCCATAATTCTATCTTACTAGCACTTGGCTCTCTCTGTCATATTTATTCTCTATACTTAGACATGTCCAGGCCTTTCCAGTGACATTGCTTGTGTTCCTTCCTTCACTTATTCCAAGTGGAGTATTCTATACTTTTTCTCTCCTCAACTCAACAGAGCTAAATTCTCTAGTAGTCAAGTTTCAGCTTAAAGCTGTCCATGTCCCTCAGGTCTTACCTGATTCTACATGAAGAGGTATAATACAACATTAGGTCTTGAAAATTTTTTGAAAAAAAAAGATAGCGTAATGCTCTAGCTACTACTGACAGAATTTGGTCGTAACAAATAGGCAATGATTTATAACAGATACCCCGTTCCCTTCCCTTGTGGCTTGCTTTCTTCTCTCTCTCTCTCTCTCTATCCCTCCCTCCCTCTTTGGTCAATTAACCTTAATTAATTAATTAACTAGCTAATTAATTTTAAAAAGAAGTTATAAAATAAATAAAATAACCAAGAGAAGATCCATAATTCTATCTTACTAGCACTTGGCTCTCTCTGTCATATTTATTCTCTATACTTAGACATGTCCAGGCCTTTCCAGTGACATTGCTTGTGTTCCTTCCTTCACTTATTCCAAGTGGAGTATTCTATACTTTTTCTCTCCTCAACTCAACAGAGCTAAATTCTCTAGTAGTCAAGTTTCAGCTTAAAGCTGTCCATGTCCCTCGGGTCTTACCTGATTCTACATGAAGAGGTATAATACAACATTAGGTCTTGAAAATTTTTTGAAAAAAAAAAGATAGCGTAATGCTCTAGCTACTACTGACAGAATTTGGTCGTAACAAAGAGGCAATGATTTGTAACAGATACCCCGTTGACTAGAACAAAGAATGAAAACCTTTGCCTAACTTGGCTGGCCCTCTTTGTGATATACTATAATCTGGGGGTAAAAGACAATTGCCATTGTGATTTATCACTAATCTTTCTAGAATTTTAGTCAAGTCGATATTACAACACAATTCTTTCATGTCCTAAAAGCAACACAAAGCATAGCATTAATTTTTTTATGATTTTTTTGATTTTTTAAAATTTAATTGTCTTTTATACATTCAATCACATTATTATTTGTCTTACAAAATAAATATTTCAACAGGTGAACATTTCTCTCTAGTACAGTTGATAAAACTATAAAATATCTTCAATAGATAATACCACATTTCTTCTTATTCATATTATTATTATTTCTTGTTCTCATTATCATTTTTTCAAACATCCAATCACTACACATCATTTGGCTCATAAAGAGAATTTACCTAAAATGAACTACTTCTCAGACCAGTCCAGTTGAGAATACTATGCATGTTATCATCAACAGGTAATAGACTAAAAATATTTTTTAATTGTTTTGATGCCTCTAGGTATTACTGGAGTCATGCTAGGATGTATCACTAAATTTAGAAATACTTTTCCTGCCTCAGGGTTTACAGATTTTTGGATCCCATAGCCATCAAAGAAAGGCAGATATCAGCACTTGATTTAGATATTTGAATTCACTGGAGCTACTTTTTTCAATTTTCTGGATAAAATTAAGATTGCACAAGATGAGCAATAAATATTTGTGGAAAATCTAGTCTGAGTTTTTGTTAGTTTTTTTTTTCTTTCCTAATGGGGTGCTCCAAAGTTGAAATACAAGTGTAAAAATTACCAATATACTGAATTTTATGTATTTTACTTCAATGCATGCTAAAAGTGATAATGTTTTCTTTTTTTAAGTTTCCATTGAGGAGAAAATATCTATTGTTTCTACATTGTCAAGGACAAAATGTGAATCCAAGCAGACTCTGAGAAGCATATACAATAATTCTTTGATCTATCAATTTTGTGAGCATCTAACTGAGTCAGTCATTTGCCATTTAATTTCAAGTATTTCTGATGGCACTAGAGAAAGTAAAGAGCAAGAGAAAGCACGGAAAATTCAAGATGTAGCATTTAACAAGATTATTTCAATTCATTCTCATAAGTTTGAGAGCAGATCGATTTCTGTTGGAGAACTTGCTCTAAGTATTTCTGAAATTATTGTTGAAATCCTTTTCAATAGCAAGATTATAGAGATGAACATTGCGCAGAAAATGGTTTCCATAAAAGCAAAATACATTTACTGTCCAGGAGTAGCTTCTGCTGACTTTGATGATCTTTTTCAAGATCTCTTAATAGGAGTGATTCATGTACTGTCCAAAGAAATAGGAATAACTCATCACTTTGAAAATAATGTAAGAAACAAGTCGTTTTCTATAATTAGAAGCAACAGTGAGTCCATTAGCAATCAAACTAATACCATGAAAATACAAGAAGTCTACAGAGATCAGGAATCATCTATTCACCAAACTGATCAACTGGCTCAAAAGAATAAATTGAGTTACTTGGCTTGTAAATTAGATACCCTAGCTGGTAGCCTAGAAAGTCGTGAATCCAAAGAAGTAGTCAATAAAGTGTTTAATATTGTTTTAGACTTATTTTCTCCAGATGAATGCTCAAATGGAGCTCTGGATTCTGGTCAAATAGCAAAAACATTTTTCTCCTCTCCAAATAATCAACAAAATAACAGCATACTTAGAAATAATGTAGGGCTCTCTCCCAAATCAGTTTTTCTTCTCAATGTTGTTTGTGAGAAACTTGTTAGAACACTTTTGGAAAAATTCACAAGCACTATGTTTCTTGATAATGGTCCCTTTTCTGATGAAATATCATCAGAAGATTGTCAACTTTTAAAAATACTTCAAAGTATAAAAGATGGAGATTTTGATTATTGTAAGGGAGCAACGGACTGTGAACAACTTCAAGGAGATTACACGTCTGGTCTTTTGGAAAATCTGCCAGAAATTGATCAAGATTTATTGTCATCAGACACTATGCTTGCTACTATTTCCCACAGATTGGTTAAATCATTGATGGACAAGCTATCTCAGAGTATACAGCAAGCTCCTGAAAGCCCACCTTTTGCAAATGGGCATTTAAACCCTAGGACAAGAGAAATACAGTCTAGTTCCACAAAGGTGAAATGGCCAGAATTAATAGAATTAGGACAAGGTAAAGGCTCTTTAGAAATCATGAGTTGTAACAGTAATTCTTTGACAGGATCACTAAATAATCCCAATATTGTTAGCTCCAGAATGCAAGCACCATTTGGCACGCAATATACAATAAAATCTTCTGTGTCAGATCTTAAAAGACAGACAACAAAAGAAAGGAACACAATAACCATTCATAATAAGTTACATCAAAGAGGTATGAATGCAGGTGTTTATTCAGCCACATTTTTAGAGGAAATAATTTCAGAATTGTTTTTTAATCTCTCTACCTCACTGTGGGGCAAAAATAAGAATATCACTGAGTCCTATCTCAATGACATGAATACATTACTTGTTAACAAAGTAGTGAATGAGTTTAACGACGCAAAAGTCACTGTTCTACGGAATTCTGAAGAAAGGCTGTGTTTTCCAACAGTTCATAAAGATACAATTAGTAAGATTGTTAACTCAGTTTATTATGATGTTCTACAGCAATATGAATTGGAAATGACCCGTGGTAATAATCTGTCGTGTGACAATACTCCAATTGCAGGACAAATAACCAGTAGCATATTGTTTGAGATTTTAGACTACCAACTCCCATCTTGTTTTAGGGAAAAGCTCATGCCACATTCATACTACCCTCTCAATGCTAAAACTATATTGCAGAAGCTTCAAAATAACCTGAGAAAATTTACATTACAACCTTGGTCTTCAACAGGTTATAGCACCATGTTATCACATTCATTTTTAGAAAATATCATAAAAAGGCTTTTATCTCAGCTCATTCCTCAACCCAGTAAGGCTTCTTATTTAGAAAAAAATTATGTCATGAGTTCAGATTTTAATGAAATGTCCACCTGTATAATAAGTAAGGTTATGTCAGCCATTTCAAAACATAACATTTGGTTCACTATATATGATAGTCAATATCTTTATACAGGACAAAACCTTGAAAAGATGGTGGATTCTGTTTATAGTAATATTTTGAAAATGTCTGACTCCCTTCTTTCAATTCAGAAAAGCATAGTCAGTCGAAGTCCAATCATAGTTGAGCAAATAGCCAGCTTTATTATCCAAGAAATTATTGAAAATCATCTTCACCCCTTTTTGTGTGGAGAGTCTTTACCTCGCCCAAGGACCCCACTCGATGAAGTATCTAACATGGTTAAACAGGTTCTCAGAGAAGCAATAGAATCAAACAGATCCCATACGCTATCACCATTATGTATTTATCCTGATATATTTGTTAGAGAGATTGTTGCTAGACTTTTATCAAAGATTTTCAACCCAAAGCATAACACTGAAGTTGAGCTAGAAAACATGACCCAAAAAATCGTAAACTCTATAAACAATCATTTAGACAAAGCTAAAATTCTTACTCTCTGTGAAAGAGAAGAGTCTTTTCCTTCTGTAGATACAGATATTGTGAATGAACTTGTCTCTTCAGTTTATAGGAATGTTTTGAAACAACATGGCCTAGACCCTGATGTTGATCAAGAGTCTGAAGATACTGACATTTTTGTTGAAAATATTACCAACTTAATTATAGCAGCTATTTCAGATTACCTTCTTCACCCACTGTTTTCTGGGGATTTGCAAACTTCTTCCTGTTCTATTTCAACAGCTGACAATATTGTTCAAGAAATCCTTAGTAACATCAGAAAATCTACCACGCCAAGTCAGATTTTACCTCCATATAACACTTTACTGCCATATACATTTTTAGAAGACATGATCAGAATACTATTATCTAGATTCTTCCCTTCTGCATCTAGCATGCTTCCAAATATAGAAAGCCCAAGAGACAGACCAAGAGGAAACTTCAATGAAATTGCATCCAACTTAATCAGTGATATCAGAATGAAAATATCCCAACATGAAATTCGGTTTTCAAAAGATGAAGAAGAAACCAACTTTGTTTATTCAGAAGATGATGCTCAGCATCTTGTTGACTCAGTATTTCAAAACATTCTACAAAATTCTGAGTCTCAAGAATCAGTTGAGCAAGATATCACAAGCAGTAATGATGTTCTTATTGACAGAATAGCAGGTTTTATCATTAAACATATCTGTCAACAACATCTTCAGCCATTTGTGGATAGAAAGTCATTACCTTCTTCACCCTACACATATCTTGATGATGAAAGAAGGCAGCTATTTTATACAAGTGTTTATTCCTCAAGTTTTTTGGAAGATGTGGTATCTGGGGTTTTAAGCAAAATATTCCACAGGGTGATAGGCATTGTACAAACTAATACAGTAAAAGATTCAGAAGATGAACTGTTTGATGCAGCTGAAAAACTCATACATTTAATTACAGAGGAATTCTCAAAAGCCCAAGTTAGCATTATAGACAATGCCGAAGAACAATTGCATTTACCCCCAGTGGAGCAAGAGAAAGTCAAAAAAATTATTGACATGGTATACAGTAAAATTTTGCAAGAATATGAAATGGAAATAATGCCCCAAAAATATTTTCTAAATGACCCAAAGACCTTGGCTTCAAGGGTAACTAAAATCATCCTGGCTGAAATTTTTGATTTTCAAATTGATCCAGATCTTATAGCAAATTTACCTTGTAAGTCATATTCCAAACTCAGTGCTAATGTTTTGATAAAGAGAGTCCAATATGGTATTAGTAAATCAAGATTCCGAAGACAAGCTTCAACCACATATACTACTATGCTATCACATACTCATTTAGAAAAAATAGTCACTCAGCTTATGTCTCAGATGAGTCCGTTAGCCTCCAGTATGGAACATCCAGATACTCCTCAATCAGACTTAAGTAATACAGTCATAAAGCTGATTAATGAAATCATGTCAATAATTTCAAAACATGCAATATGTATAGTAAAACAGGGGAATGGAAAACAAAGTATGATCTCAGAAAAAGATATACAGTCAATGGCTGACTCTATTTATGCTGATCTTTCTTGTTCAGATTTATACCAGTCTCTTATGAAAGATAAAAAGGCCATAAGTAATATACCTGTTTCTAAAATAGCAAGTTTTATAATAAAGGAAATCTTTAATCATCATATTCAGTCATTTTTATCTGGAGATAAATCTCTCCTTTCAGCTCCAGCTGACCAAAATTATAAACATAAACCAACAGATCCTAAACAAAGAGAACTATCTTTCATTGTGAACTCGGCTATTTTTTTGGAAGAAGTAATTTCTCAGCTTCTTTGCAAAATTTTTTATGCATTCACACATAATGTCTTGGCTGCTGAAAACCCAGATAGAGCAAAAGCCAAAATTACTGGCATTGTTACAACATTAGTAAAATCAATTGTTCTGGAGTTCACCACGTCAGAGATTTTAGTTGCAGAAAACTTTGATGAAAATTTGTGTTTTTCAGAAAGATATCAAGAAATGGTTCAAAATACAGTAAACCCAATTTATGAAAAAATATTAGATGAATATAAATCTCTGATTCAAGTATACAGGGTCATACAAAATGATACTATCCGTTTTGGAAGGAAAATATATAATTTGCTACTGGAAGAAATTTATGATTACCAGGTACAATCATTAGTTTCAGGAGAATTAGAGTCCTCTTCCTTTTCTTCTCCTCGAGCTGACAATATCATCAGAAATGTGCTCACCATCCTTTTGAAAGATAGCCATTCCTTGCCATCATGTATTACTGTGTTGCCTCGTTCTCTTTTAGAAGATATGGTTTACAAGCTTCTAGTCCATATCTTCCCTTCAACTGACACTGAAACTGAACTAAAAGAAGAAGAGGTTATACCAGATCACGAGTGTGTGGATGCAGTTTCAACACTGACAGATGAAATTATAAAAGAAATTTCTGAACATGAGATCCGACTTGCCACAGCGGAAGAGAATGCCGGAAGTATACAATTAGAAGCTATTGAGAATTTGGTTGACTCCATATGTAGTAATATTTGGCAAAAATCTGAATTCCAAGCTGAAGTACAGAAAAATGCAAACAAAAAAGAAAGTTCATTTCTCAGTAAAATAGCTGGATTTATTATGAAGGAAATCATGGATCATCATTTACAGCCATTTTTACATGGTGAAGAATCATTGTCCAGTGACTTACCTGATACTGGCCATGACACAGTACTTGCGGAATCTGTTAATAAAAAGACACAATCTTCTCTGTATTCAGCTACATTTTTAGAAGATGTAATTGTTGACCTTGTTCATAAATTTTGTTCTCTCCCAACTATTACTGAACATTCTAAGAAAAATGAAATGCCAGAACCAGATATTGTGGGCTTAGCTATAACATTTGCAAATTCTCTTATAAAGGAATTTAGCAAAAGTGAAATTAAAGTTTTACCAAATGCTGAAGAAATGTTTTCTTTCCCACCAGTTGATAAAGACACAGTTGACAAAATATCTAATTTTGTGTATGATCAGTTCATAGGAAAATATGAACCTAATGATATTCGGAAAGATAATAAAAGTAACTTTGTTATAGAAATGATTGCTGCTTTAGCTCAGAAGGCAATCTCTGCATTCAAGATTCAACCACTTTTTTCAGGAGACTGGTCTTCTACTTTCTTTTCATTTCTAGATCCAGAAAACATCACCCAAAGAGTTCAACACCTACCACAGAAAACCTCTACAAAGATAAACAGATACCTAAGAGGCAATGAACTTACTTTACCAGAAAATTTATATAAAAACAATTCTTTAACCTTAGATGAGAAAAATGCAATGGACCTTTTGAAAATAGATAGAAGCGCAGTGAGTGGAAATAAAAGTTTCAAAAGCAAGGGCACATCAATGAAAAAAGGCAACATCCAAGATCCAATACTTACCTCTATAACTACCATTATGAAAAGCAACGTGACTAACCAATTAACAGGGTCAACTTCAGGTGCAGCAAATAAAAAGGAGGATGAAAACAAAGCAGAAATTTACATTCAAAACTGTAGTGAAAATGTGTTGAAACTTACTGCGCCAACAGCTGGTGTAAAAAGTAAAGATACTCAGGAATCAGATTTTAGTAAAACACTTACAAATAATGAAACTGAGAAGAAAACAAAATTATCCCTAAAAGATAAAGAAGATCAAGGTGGTAAAATACATGAACATTTTTCAGTAGTTACTGATGATACAGAATTTGAGAAGGAAGTACTCAGAGGAAACTTTGAAATAGATGATGATAAAAAGATTGACAATACAAAGGATTTATTTAAAAAAGAAGACAAACCCTTTCAATTATCATCTTTGAAGTTCAAGGTAAAAAATATGGAGGATGCAACAGAGAAATCTTTAAAGGTAGTAACACAAAAGCCAAACAATGAGAAGAGAAATGTGCCAGCCCAAATAGATACGGTTGAAGAACAAAGCTCAGATTACGAATGTGTTCAAAATGTCATTGAAAATATTTATGACAATATTTTAGAAATATCTTCTGATCAAGAGTCAGCAGATTTTTCAAAATCGAGATATAGCAAAAGCCTCTCAGAGGATAAAGACTTAAATGTAATTCAAGAGACTGGCAAGGATTCTATACAGCCTATTGCAAAAAATGATTTATTTGCCTCAATTAATAAAAATGTCCATGCTGAAGAGAAAAAGATAGAAAAAGAGGAAGAGAGAGAGAAAAAAGAAGAGAAGGAGAAAGAGAAAGAAAATGTAAAAGAGAAAGAAAATAAAAGCCTTTCTTGTAAAGCAGACCATCCTCAGTACCCACCAGAAAGTAAAGTTGGAATTTTTCCTGCAAAACTATTAGAAGATGTTATCACTGAACTGGTTAACAAATTGATCTTTTCTTCATCATCAAAAGCACAAACATATCATACATGTACAAATGTGGATGATGAACTAAATCAATCTGAACTCTATGACACAGCTATGAAACTTATTGATTCACTGTTAAAAGAATTTTCAGATGCTCAAATTAAGGTATTTAGGCCAGAAAAGGGAAATCAGTGTTTTCCACCTGTGGAAACAATGTCTTCAGTTCCTAAAGCACCATCCAAATATAAACAAACAATTGCTGATGAAGCATCATCTAGCATTAAAATAAAAACGGAGGATAAAATTTCACATGTGCATAAAATGCCTAAAAAACCCTTTTTCCTGGAAAAAGTGCCATCATTTGATAAGTCATTGGTTAACAAAGTTGTTCACTCCTCTATTTGCAGTATTTTGAAGGAGTATAGATCTCAATATTCTATTTGTAAGAATATAAACAGCAATAGGGGAAATTTAGCAAGAAGGTTAACTAGTGCTGTGATAAATGAAATTTTTGAGCATCAGCTTAATTTAATATTTGGTAATGAGATCCCAGCTGCAGCATGCTTACCTCTGGAATCAAAAGATTTTGTTAAAAAAGTCAAAAAAGTGGCTCAAACAACCAACAAAGAATGTCAGACATCATCACCGTATACCATAATATTGCCTCATACATTTTTAGAGGATGTGATTTCTGCTCTTATATCTAAAATCTTCTCAACGATATGCAACTCCAAAGCAGAAGCATCTGAGAACAATGTGTTTACAGAATTGGATTTCTTTCAAATGAAGTTAGTAAATACAGTTGAAGCAGAGATCGCCAAAGATAAAGATATGATTGTACAATACGTAGAATCCTTACATCCTAATGATGAGGAAATTATTCAATTGGTGGTTCAGTCTATTTATAATAATCTCTTGCCACAGTTTGGATCTCAAGAGAGCATACAAAATTGTATAACCAGTGGATGCAGAATCCTTTCAGAAACTATAGTTGACTTAGTTCTACGAGAGGTGGCTGGCAACCAGTTGCAAAATTATTTTTGTGGAGAGTTAACTCCATGCCAGTGTGCAGAAGTTGACAGCGTGGTTGAAAATATTCTCAAAGATGTTACCCAAACTACTCATGTTTCCCCACCTCAACCACCACAGGCTCATAAATTGCCTTACAATGTAATAGAAGAAATTTCTGTAAAATTTTTATCAAAGCTCTTATCTAGGTTTCCCAAAGTACAGAATGAAGAAACAAAATCTCTAGAAGAAGGAATGCAAAAAATAACCTCAAAAATATTAAACTCAGTTCAAGAATTTATCTCTAAAAGTAATATTAAACTTATACCATCAGCCAAGGAATCATCCAATATACCTGTGGGTGACAATGCAACCATAGAAAAAGTCGTTAATTCTGTTTATACCAGTATTTTAAAGCACTCTGGTTCTTATACTTCTGTATTTAAAGATTTAATGAGTAAGAGCAATGTCCTGTCTGATATAATAGGCTTTTTAATGGTGAAGGAGATTTCCAATTCTGAATTCGAACCTCAAGTAGAAGAAGAAGTGTCAAGTTCAGAATTAGTTCTGGAAGCGGTCAAAATTATGGAAAAAGTGGTCAAAATTATTGATGAATTTAAATCACAAGAAAAATTTCCATCCAAAAAAGGTTCTATGTTAGATGTCAATTTTTTAGAGGAAGCATTGGCCTTGTTTTTGTCTAAACTAGTAAGGTTGCCAAGTGGGTCAAAAAAAGATGCAAAAAATTTATCAAAGTCTGAGTTAAATAAAATTGCATCTCAACTCACAAAATCTGTAACAGCTGAAATTTCAAGAAGTAACATAACTCTTGTAGCTGCTGATTCTGAAGAACATTTTTTATACCTAGAAAATAAAGAAATGATTTCTAAGGTTGTTGATTCTGTTTATAGTAATATACTCCAACAATCTGGAACCTATAGAGAACTTTATGATGATATAAAACATACAAACATAGTCTTCCCTGAAAAAGTGGCTGGTTTAATTATCAATGAAATTTCAGGTTTTTCGTTAGATACAGTTATCTCAGAGAATTCAAATGCCAATCAGTATGATCTAGACATTAATAGAATTGTGCAAAAGGCACAAGAGCATGCTGTTGAAAAGATCCCTGACTTCTACAAAGAGTTAGATCAGGATTCATTTGAAGAGGAAACTCCTGTTAAAATAGTTCCACATTTAGGAAAAAAACCAATCAAAATAGATCCAAGTATTATTTCTGAACACTTAGCAGTTATTTCTGTAAAAACTCAACCTCTTGAGAAATTGAAGATTGAGTGTTTAAAAAGAACTGGACACAGCATAGCAGAACTGAGAAGAGCATCAATAAGTGGGAAAAGTTACTCTTCACATTCATCTACCACAGAAAGGAAAAAGAGAGAAAGACGTATCTCATTGAATAAGACAGGACGACTAGATGTAAAACCGTTTGAGGTAAGTGGAAAAGCAGTGGCAAAAAGCAGGAGTGTATAATGAGACAAGGTCATTTTGTGATTTCCTTCTTCCAATAGTTACATTAGGATGAATGGTTTTTGTTCCTCAGTCCAATAGGAAAATTGGTATAAGCCTCATTTGGAGATTCAGAAGAAACAGTCTTGTTTATTTCCTTTCTTTGTTATATATACCTATAAATGTTCAAAGGAGCCAGTTAATATAATATCAAGACATTCAGAACTATTAAAATGGCTTTGTCAACGTTAAGGATCCCCAGTACTCTTAGCAATATTCGTAAGTACACATTAGACTGCAAACTCTCAAATTGCACTTGTTCTTATCATTTAACTTTTGTTAACTTTTCACATTTACTTTCTACTCTCAAGATATGCAAAATTTCTTTCCTCTTCTCCGCTTATTCTCAACTAAGTGGCCTAATGCTGTTTCCCTTCACTGTAGCTCTGCCATGTAGCCCCATATTCAAATATATTAAAATAATTGAAAGTTCTAAAAACCCAAAATAATGCTCTTATTTCAAGACAACTGCTACTAAAGATGAAAAAATGGCCTGGCTAACAGATTGAGTTATGCTGATCATTACACGTTTCCCTTTTTATCAAAGTCCCTTTACTGATGGTGTGCGTTTATAAAAAGGGATGAGTATGCATGTGTCCTGAATATTGAGCAAAGTTTTATAAGGCCATCCACCCCACAGCATAAGCTCAGACATTTCTTTTTTTTCTAGCACCATTCTGTAACCCACTGAACTAAGTTTTTAGACTAATACGTTAATTAGTGCTTTATGTTTCAAACTCAAATACTATCATTCTTGTGGTCTGGGACACCTTTAATATCTTGTACTCCTTTTCTGGGAAGAAGATTGTTCTTTCAGGTTTTAAAACTTCCTTTATCAGGCCACCAGGTGGTGTGATGGTTGGGGCACTGGATTCTCATATGGCTGACTGTGGTTTGAGTTCCAGATCTGTTTGCCTTCTCTCTCTTTCTCTCTCTCTCTCTCTCTCTCTCTCTCTCTCTCATCAAATTAAAGTATAATAATAGTAAAAAGAAAATCTTTATAAAAAATTTCTTTTTGTATCTCAGTTCTCATCATTATATTAGCACATACTTGACAGTCTTCAGTCACATGTCAGTAATCCCCGGGAGTAAAATTAACCCCAACACGTCTCAAGGTTATACATAGAATTTCAATCTCTAATGTTTAATTCTGTGTAGAATTATGTCACATATCTTGTTTATAGCTATCAGATTTCTTAAGTCATTCATAAAAAACAAAAAGCATTAAGAATATTTGAACAAAATAAATATCTATGTCTTTTTAAGGGGAGAAAAAGTCAGTCTAAAAAGAAAAAGTAAATGCATAGAGAACTCAGTTAAGGCATACGATTTGAACAAATTTGGGTACCAATGTTCTCTCTCAGAGGTTACAAAGACAGGACAGTAGAATGAGTCAAACACTCTCATGCTTCCTGACTCTGTGTCAGGGTTTAAATCTCTCTTTCTAGGTATTATAAATTCTTCATACCCCACATATATGCATATTAAAGCTGTATTTACTAATATATCTCAAACTCATATAGAATGATTTTAGATTTTTCTAAAATTATTCTTTTTCTCCATTAGCAGACATAGTTGAAGTCATCCTTTTTAAATTTTTAAAGAATTATTTACATATTTAATTTTCTTTGTTATTATTATTTTTTAATTTGACCAGTGAGAGACAGAGAGAGAGTGAGAAAGCAAGCTGCTAGGTCCAGGACTCAAACAGTCGTCAACCCTATGGGAATCCACCATCTTAATCAACATGACACTTGCCAGCCCTAACTTTTTTAATTTTTTTTTTTTTGAGAGATTTTCACTATAGGGCGCGTGCGCTCACCAGACAGACAGAGAGAGACATAGAGACAGAAAGCGAGAAATCACCCCCCAGGGGGGATGGTCATGCCACAATCCCTTCTCCTCTCAGGATCTTGGGCATGCACGCACACGTGCCCGGCATGAGTTTTAAGCCACCGGGTCCGGGACGTGAACCGCGGTTGACTACGTGGGAGTCCAGCGACATAGCCATTATGCTAACTGCTAGTTCCCACTTTTTTAATTTTTAAAGATATTCTTCCAATACATTGTTTCTGTTTCCACAGAAGATATTCTTTTAAGGCACCATTGTTCAAATAAATGAATTTATAATGTTACAAATGGAGGTCAAGATCTAAGATTATTAATAATTATAATTTAAATATAATTAAGAATTAACAATGCTAATTTAGAGATAGCTTTTATGGCATGGTCAAAGACCATAGCAATAAGGAAATCTTTACATAATTATAATTGCATTTTCAAATATTTGTCTTGAACATTAAAATTAGAAATTGAAATTTGGGGGCTAGCAGGTGGCATAGTGGTTTTGTTGCTGGACTCCCACATGGTCAATCACAGTTCTAGTCCGAGACCAATGGCTTAAAAATTATGCCAGGTGCATATGTATGAGTTCCCAAGATCCCAAGAGGAGAATGGAGGAGAAGGGATTTTGCTGTGGCCATCTTACATAGAGGGTGACCACTGACTTTCCCTCTCACTGTCTTTCTCTCTCTCTGGTGAGTGCACACACTCTATGGCAAAAATCTCTAAAGGAAAGAAAATGAAAAAATAAAAAAAAATGAGATTTAACTAAGGAAATGAGAGGAAATAAAGCTTTGAAAAAACTTTTAATGTAAATTTTTTTGAGAGGTTTTGCAGTAGGATGTATGTGCTCGCCAGAGAGATAGAAAGCGAGAAATCACCTCCCCCCCTCAGGGGGCATGGCCACGCTGTAATCCTTTCTCCTCCATTCTCCTCTTGGGATCCTGGGCACACACGCACACGTGCCCGGTGTGAGTTTAAGCCACTGGATCAGGGACTCAAACAACTGTCAGCTACATTGAAGTTCAGCAACATAACCATTACGTTAGCTGCTGGTCCCCGAAAGTGATAAATCACCCCAGAGGAGGATGGCCACGCCTCAATCCCTTCTCCTCCATTCTCCTTTTGGGATCTTGGGCATGCATGCACACACGCCCAGTGAAAATTTAAGCCACCGAGCCCGGGACGTGAACAGTGGTCACCTACATGGGGGTCCAACAACATAGCCATTACAATAACTGCTGGTCCCTTAATGTAAATTTTAATAATTTCTAATTTACATTTAATTGTTCTATCTTGTGGGATAAAAATATAGATTTTTAAAGCAAGTAGCAATGTGTGATAATAAAATCAAGGATATTACCACAATCATCATGTTTAACAATGAATAAAGCTAAAAAGCTTCTGCATAGCAAAGGAAACAATAAGTAAAATAAGACAGCACATAGAATGTGAGAAAATATTTACAAACTATATTCAGATAAGGAATTGATAAGCAGAATAGATAGAGAACTCAAGCAGCTTAATGCCAGTAAAAATAATCCCATCAAAATGTAAATAATTGATCTTGATGGAAACTCTCAAAGATAATTTACATTATAATATTTTAGAATGTGAGCCCAAAGTATCAGGAGTAGGAGGATCGGTGTAAAACCTCAAAGACCACAACGTCTATATTCATTATTTCAAAATGTCAAGGTTAGGCAATGTGTTGCCTTTTCTTCCTTGAAAATATGTGCATTTTTATTTCTCTATGATTCCTTGCCTAAGATTTTAGAACAGGCTATTTTGTCTACTTTTGTCACAAATTTTTTAAGACAAAAACAAAAATAGTATTATAATATTACTTAGTAACAAGCTGTAAAGTTTAACAAAAACAAAAGCTTGTGTTTGAACTTCCTCAGCTTTTCGGAGTAAACTGTGATAGATTAATATGATCTCTAAATGTAAAATAACTGAAAGACGTAAACAATAGATTAATATGATCTCTAAATGTAAAATAAGTAAAAGAGGTAAACTAATTTTCTTTCTAATTTTTATTTTGCCTTTTTTTAAAAAAAATGGCTACCTTACAAATAAGTTTACTTAAATATATTATTTAAGTTGATCAATAGAACAACAGGAAATATAACTGAGACATTTATTTTTATATTTGTTTTACCTTCAATTTCAGGCTGTTGGCAGAAATTCATTTCAGAATATAAGAATGCCCGATATCACCAAGGTTGAGCTTTTAAAAGATGTTCGCAGCAAAAAAGATCTTATTATTCGGTTAGTAGCCCATGACATTGAACAAGAAGATTTAGAAAGTAACATAGATGAAGGAATCATTTCTGAAGATGAGGAGATTGTTATAGGAGAGATTGTTGCACAAGAAGAAATATTAGAAGTAGAAGAAGATCAAATGAAAGAAACACAGAAGCCAATAAAAAGGAAAGCTGTTTCACCGAAGCAAACATTAAGCACAAGCAGCCTGAAAAAATTTTTGTCCCTAAGCAAATGTTGCCAGCCCACATCCAGTGCAAATATTGAAAGCATTGAAGTAACCACAAATCAGAAAATAGAATCCAAGGAGAAAGATATTGAAAGAGCGGTTTCTGAGATTGATGTCACCACAATAAAAAGTTTGACTCTGACAAACTTTTCTCAGGAGAAAAAAACACAATGTAAGGTAAGTGAGAAACAAAACATGACAAAAGCCTCACAAATTCTGTCCAAGAATGTTTCATAATTAGTCAACAAACAAACAAACAAACAAAACAAATACTAAATACTAAAATGGACTTTGTAACCTTCTAGGCCTAGTGATATTTATAGAATAAGGGAAATAATCAGAGTCAACTGAGGAAAAGCAGAGAATAGAAAGAAACCTAGTATAAACAAAAGTCTAAGAAAAACAAAATATAAATCAGTTAAAAGAAAGGCAAACTAAGTTTTTTAATGTTCAGTGGTAAATTTTTTTGGACATTTTTCATAGAGAGCCCCATTGTAGCAGAATGGGACCAGTAGGTTGACTGAGGGAGGAGGAAGTAAAACAATATCCACAGAAATTTAGATTGTTTTGGTTTAAATCCTAACTGATTTAATAGCTATGTCATCATTATAGTTGTGTAATTTTGGCAATTACTTAGACAAATTGTTTCTTAAAAATTACTTATCCAATTTGCTCAAACTTAATAAGTTAATAAAAATATTTACAATAGTATCCTTATAATCAGCCTAAAAACTCCACTATTATAGTGGTGGGTAGCTTGTGTTACTATTTGCAAATCCGGAATATGATGGTCTGTGTCTCAATGACCCACTGGCTTTGTCCCTGTTCAAAATTCTGTACCATGTCCTGCTTTCAGAGAATGTGTGATTTAGAATTTACTGATGAGACAGTACTTGTAACCATGAGCTTAATGTCAGTCCTCCATTAACACAAAAGCAAAGATGAATGAGAAAAAAACAAACAAATATAGGGACCAGCAGTTAGCATAATGGCTATGTCTCTGGACTCTCACGTAGTGATAGCAGTTCGAGTCCCCAACCCAGTGGCTTAAACTCATGCCGGCCACGTGTGCATGCGTGCCCAAGATCCCAAGAGGAGAATGGAGGAGAAGGGATTGTAGCATGGCCATGCTCCTGGGGGGTGATTTCTCACTTTCTGACAGAGTATGGGTAAGAAAATTTACCTGGCAAGCTTCCTAACTGACACAAGTTGGATCTCTGTTCTTTGAGAATTCAGTAAAATACAACTTCAAATATTGCACTAGTTTTATGTTTAAAATTTGAATAATATTATGGTTTAGATCATCTCCATTGGGCTTTTATAAAAAATTATATTGGTAGATTTTTTGGAGAGATTTTTGCTAAAGGGTATATGCACTTGCCGGAGAAACAAAAACAGAGAGACAAAAGAGAGCTATCACCCTCACCTCCAGGGGAAATGACCATGCTATAATCCATTATCTTCAGTTCTCTCAGAATTTTGGGCATGCACACACACATGCCCAGCATGTTTGAAATCACAGGTCTAAGACTTGGACCACAATCAGCCACATAGTAGTTCAGAGATATTACCATCGTGCCATCTGCTGGTATCAGAGGATATATTTTTAAGTAAATCTTTAAACTTTTTTCTCATTAAAGTGCACATTAGACTTTTTAAAAAAAATCTATGGGATGAAAAAGTACATATCAAACATTACCTTTGTAATATCTGGTTTTCACTTTTTCAGAAAGAAGAGAAGAGTCTTGTTGCTGAACCACCACATTACTTCATACATAGAATTATGAGTTCATCTTCATACAATCAAGAAGATTTCAATTCATCTGCTGGGTACATTAAATGTAAAACAGTACAAACATAGAAATCTAGGATGAGTTTAGTGTTTATGGGAAGAATAGGGAACCTGGTGAAACTAAGCCAATATTCAGCTTGAGTCTTTCCCTTCTGAGTCTTCTCTGCCTTGGCTTCACTCTGTGAATAATTTCTAGGTCTCCCATTTCTACTGGATCCCCGATTTCTAGTTACCTTGCTTGTGCATACTTGTTTCGAGGCCCACTTTCTAGTTTATCAATGTCTTGTATCAGATATTTACTTCTTCTATCCTGGAAGATAGGCATTGGGTTAGCAATGAAATATACACTACCAGAAAAAAAAAAAAAGTTCCTTCTCAGCTCTCTTATATAAGCTAAATGTTCTAGTATATGACACTGTCTATGAAAATAGAGTGAGAAATGTAAGTTAGGGCATTAAGATGTGAATTCTAGAAAGCAAAATAATTTGATGAATCTTTACAAATGGATAGCATTTACATAAGAGGAATATAATACAAGTTTATGTAACTGTAGAAGCAAAGTATTTGCTCTGTGGCAGTCATAGGAGAAAGAGAGGAGCAAAGTGTACTATAGAGTTGAAATTTGATGAATAACTATCAAGAATAGTTATAATATATAAAATATTTTATGTTTATAGTGGTACTTATAACCTTTTATTTCTAGAGAAAAACCTTGGGTATATAAAGAAAAATCTAGCTTGTTAAGCGCTTTTTTCCACTTAACCTAAAGCAATTGTACCTTTTTTATATGAAACTACTTTGGGATATCTGATCCTAACCCACTATCATTGCCTCTTGCCTCTTTTGCCTGCAAAATGCTGATTTTTAACAAACATAACTAGTAACATGGTCACTTTTTACTGTTTATGTCAGTGGAGAGCAGCGTAGCTAATAGTAAATAAGAATATATTTAGAACTAGGTGGTACCAGTCAGATCTAGGCCCTTGTTTGTCTATTGAAACAAGAAATAAACTACAAACAGAAAAATAAACTTTTTAAGAGCTCTTAGAAACCATTAAAAATAGCTGTAGCAATGAATGAACACTCAATCAAGAAAAACCAATATTCAAAATGCTATTTTAAAAATGTAAAACTTTACTTGCTCAAGGTGAACAGAGCAGAGTAGAACTTGCTCACAATGTTATAGTGTATACATAGGCTTTCAGACGAAATTGTTTTTATTTCAGATAGATAATGGTTGGATCATTTAGATATAAGCATAGAAACCACAAAGGGTAGTTGATAGGTGGCACAATGCATGAAAATTACAGGAGGGACCGCAGAATCACAAACACAATGGACAAAAGATTATGGGAAGGAGGTTACAATAGATATCTAAGTTTCTGAAAAAAAAAAAAAAAGAGCAGGCTGAGACTCTTAGATATTAAGTCATTTAAGAGCAGCTCAAGAAAATTAAGAAAAAAACTAAAAACAAAATATACATGTACACCCACACACACACACGCACATATACACACATACAGAGAAGATATGCATAGAAAAGAACCTGCAAAAGTATTAAGGCTCCACTTTAAATAAAGATTCAGGGTCCCACTAATTAAGGAAGGCACTTTACATCAATCTGAAAAACCTGAAAGGAGTGGTTGTTTTATTCAAATGTCCATATTTTTTAAAAAATCGCCTGGCTTATGAAGAAACAGAGAAGTATGGCTCATTCAATGAAGAAAAACCGGTAGAAAATTTCTCTGAAGAGGCACACAAATGGGACATAAGTGACAAGATTTGTAAAAAGTGCCTTAAGTGTGTGCACAAACTATAGAAAAAATCAAGGGACTAAGGAAATCAGGAAAAATATATATGAAAAAATTAGAATATCAACAAAGATAGAAATTATAAAATAAAACAAAATGAAACTTATAGAACTTAAAATACATAACTGAATTCAAAAATTCAATTGAAAAGCTCAACAGCAAACTTGAACAGGCAGAAAAATCAATGAATTAAGAGTATAAGTCAGGGAACCAGCAGTTAACGTAATGGCTATGTCGCTGGACTCCCACGTAGTCGACCGCGGTTCGCATCCTGGACCCGGTGGCTTAAAACTCACGCCGGGCGCGTGTGCGTGCGTGCCCAAAATCCCAAGAGGAGAATGGAGGAGAAGGGATTGTAGCGTGACCATCCCCCCTGGGGGGTGATTTCTCGCTTTCTGTCTCTATGTCTCTCTCTGTCTGTCTGGCGAGCGCACGCGCCCTATAGTGAAAAACCTCACAAAAAAAAAAAGTATATGTCATTGGAAATTATCAAGTCTGAGATCTAAATAAAAAAAAAAAAGAAGAAGAAGAAAGAAAGAATAGAGAAAAGTAAATGAACTTAACATCAATATACAAATTATAAGAGTCCAAGAAGAAGATATTTGTAAAGGGACAGAGCTAATTTAAAGAAATAATGGCTATAAATTTCTTAAATTTGAAGACATGGATATACAAATACAAATTCAAGTAGCTTCAAGTAAACACAAAAATACCACATCAAGATACTTTGTCCACAAATTGTCAAAAGTCAATTGAAATTATGCACAAATTGGCAGAAAGAATAAAAGTGACGCATCTTGTACAATAAACCCCAATAAAATGATCAGTGCCTTTCTTATCAAAAGCATTGCCAGGCAAAAGGCAGGCAGTGGGATGATATGCATAAAGCCCTGAAAGAAAACAAAACAAAAGAAAAATGTTATTAAACAAGAACTCTACAACAAGCAAAAACACCTCCTAAAATGAGGGTAAAATTTAAGACATTTCAAAACAAACAAGCAAAAAAGCTGAAAGTGTTTATTAACATAATATCTACCTTGAAGAAATGCTGAGTAATGTTCTCAAGTTGAAATGAATGGATGCTGAACGGTACCTCAAATCATTATGAAAAAGGAAAGTTCTCTAATAAAGAAAAATAGAAAAGTATAAAGACTAGTATTATCATAATTCCAGTTCATAATTCTATTTTCCCAGAGTATATAAAAAAATAAATGCATGTAATATATGTTGAAAGATTTCTTTTGTTCCTCATAAACAAATCAGTAGAGGAGTAGAGTTTTTGTTTGCAAAGTTAACTTGCTATCAATTTAAGAAATATTTTTATAAATTAAATGTTTTTTAAAATGTTATACATTTAATCACTGCATTTTTACGGCTACCACAGGAATTATATATTTAAAAATCTGAATTTCAGCTGGACTGGTGTGGAATTCAGTTTTTCACTTTTTTTCCCCACAATTCCTGTGATAACCACAAAGAAAAGATGTGTAAAATACAAGAAAATAGTTCATTAGAAGGTAATCAAACTAAACACACAAAAGACAAAAGTATTGTGGGAAATGGGGGATAATACACTTTCTTATAATTTTTTTTTTAATTTTTGCCATTGGACATGTGTGTTCACCGGATAGAGACAGAGAGAGAGGGAAAGTGAGAAATTACCCCCCTCAGGGAGGATGGACACACCACAATCTCTTCTCCTTCATTCTTCTCTTGGGATTTTAGGCATGAATGCACAAGTGCCCAGTGTGTTTTTCAGGTCGTCAGACCAACAGCAGAGTTAGCCATGTGAGAACCAGTATCTTAACCATCACATCACTGGCTGACCCTGGAACAATAAGCTCTTAAATAATGAATTTGAAAATAATTATAAAACAAATTATAAATTATTTGAGATAAACAAAAATGAAAGCACAACATACCAAAGCTTATGGAATATAGTAAAAGCTGTGATAAGAAGGACACTTACAGTTGTAAGTTCTTTGTTTTAGAAGAAGATTTGAAAATGACAGCTTAACTTTGTAACATAGGGAACTAGAAAAAGAACAAATTAAATTTAAAGCTAACAGAAACAAAGTAAAATAAATAGTAGAAATAAGCAAGACAGCAGAAAAACAAAGAGAATCCATCAAATTTAGAGTTGGTTTTTCAAAAACACTAACGAAAGCAGCAAACCTTTAGTTAGATTGCCTAAGAAAAAGAGCGAAAAATCCAATAAATAAAACAGGAAATATCACAATCAGTTTTATGTAATAAAGAGAATTATAAGAGAATACTATAAATATTGTATGCCAACAAATTAGATAACTTAGGCAATGAATAAATTCTTAGAAACACACAATCTGCCAAGATTGAATAATGACGAATTAGAATAATCTGATCAGACCTAAAACCAGTAAAGAAAATGAATTAATAATCAACTATTCCTAATAATGGAAAGATTAGGACCAGATAAAGTCATTGGTGGATCTGAGCAACTTTTTAAAAAAATGAATACCAATTGTCCTTAAACTTTTCTAGAAAATTTGAAGACCAGCACTTCTAAACTCAGGAGGCCCACATAACCTTGACACAAAAGCCTCACAAAGACCCTGCAAGAAAACCACATATCAACATAGTCTATGACTATTGATATAAAAATCATCAACAAAATACTACCAAACAAAATTGACCATCACATTAAAATGATTTATGATATGACCAAATGGTATTTGTTAAGAATGTAAAAGATATTCAACAGACAACACAGCTAGTGTAATATGCTACATTAAGAAAATGAAAGAGAAACACACATGTATTTTACACATGTGCGTTTATCTCAATTGATGCAGAGAAACAATTTGATAATATTCAACTTCTCATTATAGCCTTCAGCACACTAGGAAAAGAAAAAAAAAATAAAACTACATCAACATAAGTAAGACCATAAATGAAAAATCTACAGCTAACATTGTCCTCAGTGCTAAAGGGATAAAGGACCTTAATTTATTATTATTATTATTTTAAGTTTTGAAAGTCAAGAATGAAAACATGTTCACTTTCACCAATTCTATTAGACACAGTTCCAAAAAATTTTAGCCAAGAATTTAGGCAAGACAATGGTGGAAAGAGCCCCAATGGTTCAACTAAATGTGATATACATTCAAAGGGAGATTATTCAGCCTTAAAAATAATGAAAATTCTGACATATGCAACAATGTGCATAAATATTAAATATTTGGTCATTGGAATAAGTCACTCAGAAAGAGACAAGCATCAGATGATTCTACTTAAATGAGCTTCCTAGAGTAGTCAAATTCATAGACACAGAGAGTACTAGAATAGTGTTTTTCAGAGATGAGGAGACAGGAAGATATATGGCGTTAGAGTTTAACGAGTACAGAATTTCAGATGGGAAAGATGAACTGGTTCTAGAGATGACAACCATGGTTTGCACAGCAAGTGAATGTACTCAGTTCTGTAAATCGTTCACTTAAAAATAGTTAAGGTGGCAAACTGTGTGTATATTTAACAACAAATTTCAAAGTCAAGAGGAAAAGTAAATTTAGAAACCATTTTCATTTAATATGGAATATCAGTGAGATTCCAGATTTTCTTTTATATTCAAATGACTGTTTTTTTTCTTAGCCAATATTTTCTGCTTTTATTAAAAACACTGAGAATAATTTTCTTTTTCTTTCATTTTAGTGATGCAGAAGATCATAACCCACATCCAAGTACAAAAATGTTAGAAGGTTGGACTCTTTTTTTTTTAATTTAAATTCAATTACTCAAAAGGAAACATTGTGTCCTACTTTGATTGTTTTAGTTATCAGATATGATACTGTTTTGTTTTTTTCTTGTGAGTTTATCTAATTCTGGAAGGTAATACATTTCTCAGTGTTAACATAAACCAAAACCTTGCTTTGTCTGAATTGTTATTAAGTTTCTATTTATGATTTAGGTAGCAAGAATATGGTGTGATAAATATGAGTAAATTTATCATGCTCTTGTGAGAACTATCCACAAAATAAAGATATTAGTCTACCTAACTATTGTTTATATCTGAGCCCGAATTCATACTATTAGGGTTTAATCATTTCTTTGGGAAGTTATGCTTCCTTTGAATCAAACTTAGCCCTACTAAAATGTACAAGACAGAAGGTAAAGCAAAATTTATTTGCTCACATTAATGGACATTGAGGTTCACTATGATGGACCTCAATCTTTTTTGTTTTTTTGTTTGTTTGTGTTTTTTTTGGAGAGGTTTTTGCCATAGGGCTCTTGCACTCTCCAGACAGACAGAGAGAGACAGCAGAGAGACAGAAAGCAAGAACTCACCCCCCAGGGGGATGACCATGCCACAATCCCTTCTCCTCTATTCTCTTCTCTGGATCTTGGGCACACACGCACACACGCTCAGAGTGAGTCTAAGTCACCAGGTCCAGGACTTGAGCCATGGTCGACTACATGGGAGTCCAGCGACATAGCTGTTATGCTAAGTGCTGGTCCCTGGACCTCAATCTTAAAAAAAAAAAAAAAAAAAAAAATCGATGCTAGCATTGACTCCCAAGTCTCCTGCCCCTATTTCAATATTTCAATGTTCTGATTTGTTTTATCCAACTTCACTGTAGTGATCATGCTTAGTTCTTTTTTTTTTTTTTTTTGGAGAGGTTTTTGCTACATGGTGTGTGCACTCACCAGACAGACAGAGAGAGACAGAAAGCGAGAAGTCACCCCCCAGCGGGGATGGCCACGCTGCAGTCCCTTCCCCTCCGTTCTCCTCTCGGGATCTTGGGCACGAATGCACACCCGCCCAGCATGAGTTTAAGCCACCGGGTCCGGGACTCAAACCACAGTTGGCTACATGGGAGTCCAGCGACATAGCCATTACTCTGACTGCTGGCCCCTCATGCTTAGTTCTTAAATCCTTCAGTAATATCACAGCTGTCCAACTTGATGATTTGTTTATTCATTCAAAAATGTACTGAGCATTTTCTTTGTTTTCTAACCATTCATGTGTAAGCAAGTATACAAAGTTCTTGCTGTCATGGCTTCTTCCTGTGAATTTAGGTTGGGAAGTCAGAGGTAAGGGCATAAAGAAGACAATTCCAGATATTGACAAGTACTTCCCTTCTTATTTAAGACAAAATCCCAAATGGTTACAAGAGTTTATAAAACCCTACATTTCGGTGTTACTCTAACCCCCTACTGTGTGCTCTCTTTTTTCTCTGTTTTGCTTTACTCCAGTCTCAGTGATCTGCTTGTTGTTCGGCAAACATTTCATTCACTCAGGGTCTTTATACTTGCTGGTGTCTGGTAGTGCTCTGGTCCCTATGCCTGCATTGTTTATTCTTCATCTTTACTCAGAGTTCACGTTCCCATGAGGCCTTTTCTGATCACATTCCAATACTGCAATTTATTTGCCATGATTCCATCACCTATTCCATTTCTCTACTTTATTTTTATTCCTAAAATTTATCTAAGAGAGCTTCTATTTTAATGATTTGGTTTTGATGTCTCTCTGTTTAATATAAGCCCCATGAAGGTGGGGATTTATGTCTGTTCACAGCTGTATCCCAAGAGCCTGCAATGGTTCATGGCAGATAGCAGCTTGAGGCAATAGCAAACTAGGGGAGACTATGCATGGAAGGAATTAGCACAAGAAGTCTAATATAGTTATACTGAGGTTGAGGAATCCATTAGACATTTAGGTCGAGATGTCACATAAGCAACTGGATATTTAAGTATAGCATTCAGTGGAGAAGTCAAGACTGGGCATATGCATTCCTAGTTTCATTGAATATATGATAAAAATCTAAGATAAATCTAAATAGCTAGACCCCTCAAATATCAGAAATTTTTCTATACTCCCTAATTACAACAACTGCTTAGTTTCTTGGAATTTAAGTCCACATAGGCTTGGGGGGAGGGGTGGGGAGACTGGTATTTGGAGAGCTGGCTTAAGGGAGGTGGATCCACATAGCCAACTACACTGATGGAATCCAGGAATCTTAGGAATCTGCTAATGGAATCCAACCCGAGACTTGAAAAACAGACCAGGTATATGTGCTTACATGTCCCAAATCCTGTCAAAACGGAGAAATGGAGGAGAAGGGATTGCAGTATAACCATGCCTCATTTGGGGATGCTTGCTTTCTTTCCCTCTTTCTTTTTGTTTCTCTTGGGGAAGCACACATGACCACTGGCAACAAACAAACAATAAAACATCTGACATTTGGAGTATGTTCCTGATAGAAAATCCAAAATGTCCTCATTTAAAAACAAAAGTTTATGTACTACATGTGATGTATGATATACTAGGTACAATATAAAGTACCATGTTGTACACTGTAATAATATACAGTCATTAAATGTAAATAATAATAGATAAAAATTATTTACAGTAAAATTATCAACCAACATTGAAATTTTTTCACTTGTTTTCAGATAATTCAATCACTCTCTCTCATATTTGAATTACTTGAGATATTAGTACTTGTTTCCCTATAACCTTACTTCGCCTGAAAAAGTAAATTCAGAATGTCATCATGTTGTCTCTTGATGAGCACATGTGTACAAAATGCATTGTTTTTAGATATGTGATATCTCATTAGGCCCATGTGATGTCTCAGGGAAGATAGTATTATTTCTAACTCGATACCTGAGGAAACTGTGAGTCAGAGAAGTTAAATTTAGTTCACCAGTGTTCACACAGCTCTAAGCAGTGAAGCTGACTCAAACACAGTTTTTTTGATTTTCTAGCAGTTTAGCAATGGGTCTTTTCAGACTTCTCTGACAGTGTCATTTGTACCTTATTGGCTGAATTTCTTTCACTGGTATATTGACCTCTTCTGGAACTCAGGTACTTTTCATTCTGTAGCAACTCTACCAGATTTGCTGCTTCAATTCGCTCCTGATTCTCACCAGAACTATTTCATAACACTAGTCCTTTTTTATTCTGTTTTTAAATCAGTGTATAGAAAGGGTGGATACCTGGAAGGCCCTTAAGAATCATCTACAGCATAACTATTCATTTTACACACAAACAGGCTCATAGCCATTGAATGGCTATTCGTGGCTGTGTAGCTACAAAGTCACAGAGCCTGTTGTAATCCCTAAGTGAAGGTCTAAGGTAACCACTAGCAATCTACGGCTCTCATTTGTTTCAGTCTTACTCCTTTTATTTATGTATTAAAATAATGACAACTTCTATCTGTCTAATTTTTTTTTTGATGAAATGATCAGATTTATGTCAAGTATAAATGCCTCAGTAAAAATATTTTTCTTTTTTTCCCCCACAGGCACTTCTTATGAAGGAAAGCCAGAAAATGCAAGCAGTGTTAAGGTAAATATTTTTTAATGGCTTCTAGTTGGTATACTTTGAGGCCCAGTTGAGGATAAGCCATTTTTTAAAGTCTAGTCGTAAACTGTGTAGTGATTTGAAGGGCATTAAGGAGCATTCGCCTGTTCACAATTCCCTCACACCCAGATCTTTATTCTTGACTGAGGCCTGTCCCTGGTACTTGAAAATTTTATAATCAAAATTCTCACTTTAGGATTAAATCAGCATTCCTTATTTAAGTGCACAGAGTAAGCCTCTGTTTCTTCCTAGCATATACATCTAACTTATTCATTGGATCTGTTACTTCAGTCTCTGTAGTAAAGCTTATTGGGAGTGAGTAATTTTTGTCTCCGTCTAGGGTAAGAAGCCCCAAGTCAGGCCCAGGGTGGAGAAAGGAAGGGAAAAGAAACATCAAAGGTAGAGGATGTGCATTTCAGAAAATGAGTGCTGATTCCATCAACTTTCCTGTTCCCTAAAGACTGAATCTTTACAGGCTACTTTCTAAACAACTCCACTATGTCCCAGTGTGAGACTAGGAAATTTCCTCTTCTTCAATCGTTCTTAGAAAGTTTCCAGTGAAGAAGGAAGCCACAGGGTTTTGTTGTTGTTGTTGTTATGGTTGTCTTTTGTTTATGATTTTGCTTTGTTTTGTTTTTCATTGATTCTTTCTTCGTTCAGTTTAATCATCCTTCAGGCAGGTCCTCCCATTTCACGTACACACAGTTTATAGATAATTCAGTCACTTGCCAGTGTCACAGTATACCACAATTTTCACAAATAATTCTAAAAATCCTGCAAGTCACACTTAATATAATTCTGCCTAATTTATAAAGCTACTTGGTGAGTTTCCCATGCAGTCTAATCCTCATTTATGAATGAAAAAGTCCATTTAACAATCTCAGGATTTACTTAGGCTATGCTCTCCACAAAGTAAAATTACATGGCAATAAACAGGAGACAGGGAGGCCTTTTGGGGGGGACCTATTGACACTCCTTGTGCCAACTTAAATTCCTAGCTAAACTAGACGCTTCCACTTTTGTCCATTTCTTTATTTTCTTTATTTATTTTATTATTATTATTATTAATATTATTATTATTTTACCATTTTTAAGGAAAGCTATTGTTAAGCTACCATGTTTAATTCCAAGGAAACTGGAGTAATCATGCCACCACCCTGTATCTTTCACTGATTACAACTAAGAACTCTGAAAGCCTACTGAGGATTCTCAAAATTAAGTAATAACAGGAGTCTGGGCAGAGAAATAAAAACTCAACAACCAATACCATTGTGGGCTTGCTAGGTGATTTTTTTTCTCTAGTAGCTCCTCGCTCAGACTCAGGGCAGTTTAAATCCTAAAATTGCATATAGGAGATAGTAAACCAAAGCTCCAAAAGAAACCACTGCTCTCTGACAAATTAGGAAGAAGATTCTTATGGATGGAGAGTCTAACAGAGAATCCTTACTTTATTTCCCATTTTTTTTCAGTCTCTTGACCCTGCATTGAGGCAAGTTTTAGTCCTGAAGCTACATGGTAATGGCAGCAGAAGCTGTTGACCATCACCTAAAATCTAAAAGAGAATTCATTTCCCTTACTAAGCATATTAGGAAAAGGGTCTTCAGCGGCCTGAAGAGTATTGGTTAAATCTCAAATTTCTTTTGTCACATTAGATGTAGTCATGGGAGTTGTCAGACAGCACAGTTTGGGAGGCTCAGAGCCACAGCATTCTAGTTATGAAATGAAAAAAGGAGTCTACCGATAGAGACGCTGAGTGACATAATAGAGAAGAGGAATTTGAAAAAAAAAAGGATCCATAAATCTGAGTTGTACATGCATGGAACTAACCTGAAGAAACGTAGACAAAGGCTCTGAGACTTGAACTATAGTCTTTATTTTCCTTTTATGCACACTTTATAGGAGTGAGAAATCACACACACACAGGTCCAGAACTCAAACCATCATCAACTACATTGGAGTTCAGCAATGTAATCATTACACCATCTGCCTGTACCAAGCTGGAATCTTTCTTTTATTTGGGGGGGGGGGGGAGTTTTTTATATGGGGCATGTGCTGGGGGATGATTTTGCTATAGGGCACATGCGCTCGCCAGAAAGACCACGAAAGACAGAGAGACAGAAAGCGAGAAATCACCCCCCAGGAGGATGGCCATGCTGTAATCCTTTCTTCTCCATTCTCCTCTTGGGATCTTGGGCACGCATGTACATGCGCCTGGCATGAATTTAAGCCACCAGGTCTGGAACTCGAACCTTGGTGGACTACGTGGGAGTCCAGCAACATAGCCATTATGCCAACTGCTGGTCCCCCAAACTGTAACCTTAACAGTGGTGCACACACAAGGTTACTGAAATTATACTGAAATACTGTGCAAATTTATAAACCATTTTAACCACAGCTATGGAAGAGTGGTGGATTGTGCAATGCGAACGTAAGGATTTGATTGCCTAATGAAACTACACCAACAACAAATTGACCTTCTCCAGAGGGTTTTAACAGGACTGAGAATATTAGCAGTTTAAAATGGCCAAGAAACAATCCAGAATTACAAAGAACAGGACAGTATCTCTGACCTTCAAGGAAAAGATCAAAAGATGCCAACTCCAACATAGTCAAAAATTTGAAATTCTTTGATTAAAAATTTTTAAAGTAACTGTAACAAATTATGATAAAGATAAGCATTTTTGAATTTAACAAAAAGTTAAATAATTTCAGCAGAATTTAATTATATCCACCTATCCCAGATCCATGATAGCATCTGTTGCCTACTTTTAGATTTGGGATTCTCTGCTCCATTTTATTTCTCAAGTATTGGTTTATAGTAGGTTAATAGACAATCTACTGGGACCAGCAGTTAGCATAATGGCTATGTCACTGGACTCCCATATTGTCGACTGTGGTTTGATTCCCGGACCCAGTGGCTCAAACTCATGCCGGGCGTGTGTGGGTGCCCAAGATACCAAGAGGAGAATGGAGGAGAAGGAATTGCAGCGTGGCCATCCCCCCATGGGAGTGATTTCTCACTTTCTGTCTCTCTGAATCTCTCTTTCTGGTGAGCGCCAGCGCCTTATAGCAAAAACCTCTCCAAAAAAAAAAAAAGGAAGAAAAAAAATAGACAATCTATCTCAACTCCTTTTGAAAAAAAACTGTAATACTTCTCTTATATTATTGGTTCCTCTTTGCATTCTATAAACAGCATAATTCTATTATATTACATGTCATAGGAAAATCCATGAGGATTTTTGCTTAGAAAAGCACAGGAAAATACATCATGACCTTTGCTATGATCCATTATTTTGGTCTTACTTCATTGATTTTTTTTTTACTTCTTTTTGAAATTGATAGCATCATATAGAACAACTACACTGATGCTTGACCAGCTATTTCAAGCTGTTTTGAGCCTCTCTGGAACAAGTTTGGTTTCTGAATTAAAAGAATTGATAAAAGCATGCAGAATAGACTAATATATCTTCTGAGTCACATTCTCATCACTACTGGATCCACACATCCACTTTTTTTTTTTTTTTCCAGATCCCGTCCTGGTTAAGACTTTCATAAAAGAAAATTAAGAGTCATGAAGTGAACATTTGTTTTTGTTTTTTTTTCTTACCCTCATCATTATATCTGTTCTCAAAAGAACAATTTGTAACATGGTCCATTCAGTCAAAACAGGACAAACAGAACATTTTCTTTCTTTTTTTTAAAGAAAGATTTTTACTAAAGGGTGCATGCACTTGCTGGAGAGACAGAGAGAAAAGAAAATGAGAAATCATCCCCCAAGGGGGATGACCATGCCACAGTCCCCTCTCCTTTATTCTCCTCATGGGATTTTGGGCACACATGCACATGCCCCCAGCATGAGTTTTAAGCTACTGGGTCTGGGACTTGAAGTGTAGTCACCTACATGGGAGTCCAGCAACGTAACCATTATGCCATTTGCTGGTCACAGAACTGACATCTTTAATGAGTTAATAAGGCTGAGCCTTTGACCATCATTGATGATATACAATACCTATAGATATGACAAGAGTCAATCCTTGTATCATAAGTAGTGAAAATTATGAGTCTAAGGTCTCAGCGAACAATTCTTAGAGACTGCAGAGCACAGATATAATTTACATACTATGCTACAATGTTTATGCTCCATCTCTTGAGAATTTCTAGGTATATTTAGGGTTTAGTGTCCAATAAATCACTAAATTAGTATTTCAATTTGCCTTGGCAGTTTATCACCATCTATGAAGGACCCAAGAATGTTCTTAACAGTGCACAGTGCTCAAAGGAAGTCATTTCAATCCACTTAAATAAATAAATAAAAAGAAAGAAAGAAAGAAAAGAAAAGAAAAGAAAAGAAGCAAAAAATCACTATTCTTTGAACAACTAAGAAAATAAAGCTCTCATTTACATCATTTTTTATTTCAAAATTTTGATCATTTATTTATTTGAAAGTAGTGGCTCTTCCCTTGCATATCATCGATATGAGTTTCAAACAATATTCTTACAATCACATAAATAGCAACTTGTAGTTCATTATACAGTTCTCTTAGTCTCTTAGTTTAACATAACAGTAACAGATAATATAACTGACATTGAATAGGCATCATTTATCTACATTTTATTAAAGAGGAAATTGAGAATGGTTAAGGAGGAAAATGACAGCAGGTTATCCAAGATAACCCCACAGCTAGTAAGCTACAGAGCTGTGATTCAAATACAGATCTGCCTAATTCAAAAGCCTACGCTCATTCAACATTATTACAGTTCATCTACTCAAATGGCAAATGGTTACAGGAGCAAGAAAGATGACACAAGCCAGAACGGCAAGTTGAACCAGGGATCCGTGACCCACTGGAGATAGTATATCCCTTACAAGAAGGAAGTTGTATATAGTTTCAATCACTGACATGCTAGATTTTTACTAGGTCTTCTAATTCAGGATTTCCCACTTTTCAGGGGACACTGGACAAAGAAATTTTACATAAAAATTCCTAACTAATAAATGTTATTCACTGCAGTTAAGAAAATAGGTGTTTTTAGTGTTTTTGTGTCCTACCACAACTTATTGCAAAACATGAGAAAAGTACATAAATGCTTATTTCTATCTCTACATATAAAATAATCATTTTGTTAAATTAAAATAAGATATTCTCTTAAGGCCCTGTGTGCTGCATAATTGATAAAAAAAAATACAAATAAAGAGACTCTTTTATTATCTGTACAATTATCTCTTTCATGAAAAAAAACCCACAAGGTCAGTCAATAGAAAATTTATCCTAAGTAGGTGGAAAATTACAGCATTTTTAATAAACTTCTGCTTTCATGTGAACATTCTGAAAGAGACATCCTCATTCTGTAGAGGTGACAGTTACTTTCCCTGGCTGCTTATCATACATTTCTAGAGTGTTTTCTGCTGTATAAAACGAGGTAGACCTTGCACATAAGACCAGAAAAGTATTAGGATCCAGAAAGCATAGCACCATGAGAATCAGAAAGTCTAAACTTTATTCCAACTTGGCCAGCTTTTACTCATAAGACCTTAGACAAGGTATTTATTTGACTTTACCTAGCTTCACTGTCCACAAATGATGATATCAGTCTTTCTGTTTCTTTCATATGTGTGGGAAGGATCAATTTAAAATAAACTTTGTGAATGTTTTTCAAATCCCTTCATTTATAAATACTAATTTCTGACTTCTAAATTATCAATCCACTGGTACGGTTGTCTCAGTTAAGATATCTAATAAATGTCCATTTTAACTTTTTTGCTTTGTCCACAGAAACTCCTAAGCCTGGTATTTCCAAACAAGGATCTAAAATGCTGGCGAAGGTATCTTCAGCTCTGTCAAAAGTGTTTTCTCGATCTAACACCAGTATTTCCAAATCTTCCTCACCACCTCAACAGGATGAATGCTGAAGCTTCTATCCTAATAAAAGCATGCTTAATCCTCTTAGAAAATAAAATGGTTTTAAATGCATAATATAGTGTCATATAAGATGATTCGTATAATACTGAAAATAAGAGTGAAATAAAGTATGAATGGGCTTGGGTAACAAAGTTTTAATTAGTGCTTTTTATAAGTATATTAGTATTAAAAAACACTAAGTACTAATAATATGGGGTGATAAAAGAATAAGTGTCTAAAAATATAATCAGTGAATTTGGAAATCCAAAGAATGCACAAGAAAATTAACATAGATGTATCTTTTAAAATTTTTGAAGGATATCACCAAGATGAATAACAAATTGATATGAAAATTAACCTCAATTCTTTTACACAGCTATGAAACAGTTTATTTTACTGTTAAAGCAGATTCAGATTTCCAAATAGAACTATTTATACCAGATTAATAAAGTCAGTACCCCCGCCCCAAGTTAAAATTTCAACAGTTCATAAAATACCTCCCAGGAAAAAGATCCAACTATAGATAAAGCACCATCTGAGTCATAGCTGGATAAAATGGCATATATACATAAAATGCCCCTTGTACTAAATACAAGCAAATAAATAAACAACAACAAAAAAAAAAACCTCTTCAGATATGGAAACATTTGTGGATAATGTATTATCAATTGTTATGTTATCATTTATATAAATATTTTACATGAACATAAATATCAAGATTCGGGACCAGCAAATAGCATAATGGTTATGCCACTAGACTCCCTCTCACATAGTCAACTGCAGTTCAAGTCCTGGACCCAACAACTTAAAACTCATGCCAGGTGCATGTGCATGCATGCCCAAAATCCCAAAAACATTAGAGGAGAAGTGATTCAGGACTGGCCATCCCCTGGGGGATGACTTCTTGCTTTCTGTCTCTCTGTCTCTCTCTGCCTCTCCCAAGAGCACGTGCATCCTGAAGCAAAAATCTCTCTTAAAAAAATTAAGATTCAATTTGCAAAGACATAAATAGTAGTGGGGAAAATAGAAAAATAGGACTAGCTAGTGCAGTTATAAAATACATTTTATGAGGCCAGCAGGTGGTATGATGGTTAAGGTGCTATGCTCCCACATGGCCAATTCCAGGGTTTGAGTCCCACACCTGGTGGTTTGAAAATCATGCCAGATGCGTGTGCATGCCAGCTCAAAATCCCAGGAGGAAAATGGTAGAGGAGAGATTATGATGTGGTTATCTCCCATGAAGGTTGATTTCTCTCTTTCTTGCTCTCCATTTTTCTCTGCCTCTCTCTACTAGTACATATACCCTATGTCAAAGCTCTAAAAATAAATTTAAAAAGAAATTTTCCAAAATCAGCTAACCTTGTTACTTTGTAATATTCTAACTTAAGTATATTTGTTTTGGGAATCCTAAGATGGTGTTAAAAATATCCAACAGAAATACAGAACAGCCAACAGAGATTACCATATTATCAGCACCTACCCATAGGTTGAGTTATAAAATTCTAGAGAATGTGATGCCCTCTCTTTTATCTATCTAAATTTTCTTAACAGCAGTAGTGTCAAGTCAGGAACATCTGAGAACATTCTGTTTTACAAAATTGAATTCCATTTCATGAAGTTAATCGGTATAATTATGACAGGGAGCTCTAAAGAAGAAAAAGTGATTATACAATCGAATTTTTAGATATAAATAGCATTGAAATTTTTCAATTAGTGGTTTAGTCTACTTGTAATCTCTTAAAAATCAATTGATCTCAAAGACCATACAAATCGTATAAGCTATGGATAGAGAGACCTTTTCAAAACAGATAGTTGAAAAATAACTAGAAGTCCAGTTCAGATTATTTTCTGGAGAGATAGCTCTAACTCTACATCAGTGTGCATTTGTTGTTGAAAATATCCTTACATATGTCAGCCAAACCAGAGATGTTTCTCAGACTTAGATGTCAGATATCTATAAGCTGTCTTTCAACATTATACATTTCACTGTAAGAGTATAAAGCACTCTTGATTCACAAACTTTTGAATTTAAAGATTTAATAGGTGAGTATAATGGACTCTCTGATGGAAGAGGCTTTTTATTGATAAAGGAAGTGTACAGTTTTCTATAACTCAAATAGATAAAAAAAACATCAAGTTCAGAATAGTCCTTGAAAGCTGTCGATATTATGGAAAGAAATGATTAAAGTTCTCAGTTAAGTTCCAGTAAAAACCTTCATCCAGAAAAGGTTTACATTAGATTAACATTTTATTAATAGATGACACATTGTCCTTTTTCTCAACTAAACTAATGAGGTAAAGATGCTAAAAGTGTAACTTTGAATTGAAAAAAATATATTATTACCTGGTGAAATCTGCAAAAACAAGAATTTCTAGATTTAACATTAGTCTTCTAGCTATTGATCCAGAGAATGTTTATAAATTCATAAGGCACTGAATTGATTTCCCAGGTTGTTGATTCTTTATGTTGTACTAAAACAGAAATTAAAAATTTTCTTAGGTGAACAACTAGATAATAAACATTTTTCATTTGTAGAGCATACGGTCTGTGTTGAAACTATACATTTGTTCTATTGCAGAACAAAAGCGGCCATAGAAAACCCATAAACAAATGGATGTGGATGTGATCCAGTGAAACTTTGTTTGTTTTGCTTCATTAGGTTTTTGCTATAGAGCACACGTGTCCTCCGTAGAGACAGAGAGACAGAAAGTGAGAAATCACTCGCTGGAGAAACGGCCATGCTGCAATTCCTTCTCCTCCATTCTCCTCTCAGGATCTTGGGCACACACACACACACACACATGTCCAGTACGAATTTTAAATTGGCTGGGTCTGGGACTTAAGTTATGGTCAACTACATGGAAGTCCAGTGACATAACCATTACACCATCTGCTGGTCCCACCAATGAAACTTTGCAGACACTACTTAATTTAATTTAATTTTTACATTTCACAACATACATTTTTCATTTTTTTTGTAATTAATAAAATTCATTCTTAACTTGGTGACAGGCCATATTTAACACATGGATAATAGCTTAGCTCTGTACTGTGGTAATTTGGAAACTATATGTTTATTGTAATATGAGAAGTGTACAGATTATTGCATACAGATAATTATCTTTACTAATAAAGGTTTAAATGCCATTACAAAAAAATAGTTCATAGGATTCAATTTTTGTTGATCTTTTAAATGATTTATTGAATATGTTGTTGACATGAGTATATTGCTAAAATGTACCTTGAGTTAGAAAAGAAACAGTAGGTCAAGATTTAATTTAAAGTTTAAATATTGATTTAAATTTAATCTGAAACTCAGATTTTCAGTTAAAAATTCCTCTTTCACTGGAACTAGCCAATCGAAGTAGATCCATACATAATATTAGGTTGTCTAGAGAGTCATGACACGTTTTTGCATAGAAAAATACTTCATGACTTTCCCAATAGCCTAATATCAGAACATCCACTAATCAATTAAACAAAACAAAACAAAACAAACCTTAGTCTCCATTACAGGAAATTGATAGGATAAGCAATTCCAAGCAAAATCATCAAAGTCAGCTTTTTCATAATTTGGAAAAATAGTCCAAAGTTTATAGTAGCAAGTCAAATATCAAAAAAAATGGTAACTGAAAAATGGTGGGTAATAATAGGTAGATCTATGTTCAGAAAGGGACAGAAAGGCTAAGATTTCATCTCTGATTAATCTTTTGTCTCAGTGCAAGCCTGGTTAAGTATTGAAGGAATATTCTGGCACAGATTTAATTACTCCATATTGGAAGATGTGCTTTTTTGCTTGTTTCTTTGTTTTGTTTTATACTTATTTTTAGGTCCCTTTGTTCAAAGAAATCTTTCAGAACCCACATCAAACTTAGGAACTTAGATTTCAGTTATGACAAAAGACAAGGAATACACTCAGCCATAATAGTTCAGAAAGTCACTAAACAGACGACCACAACCTTCAAAAATCAAAACACAACAACTGTTAGCAAAGAGAAAGAGCTAGTTCCCAAAGTTACTACATAATTATATTCATATACCCAGTTTTCAAAGTCTAAACACAAGAAATGCAAACAAGTAGGAATCACCATTTACAGAAAGAAAATTAAAGCCAAGACTCATACTTGAAGAAGTTTATACCTTGGACTAACTATACATAGGCTGTTTTAAATATACCCAAAGAACTAAAGAAAAACATAGACAAAGGCTAAAGGAAATCCAGGGGCCAATAGATGGTATAGTGCTTATATCACTGGACTTCCACATGGACAATGATCGCTCAAACCTCAGAAACAGTGGCTTGAAAACCACACCAGGTGTGTGTGTGCATATGTGCCCAAGATCTCAGGAGGTAAAAGGAGGAGAAAGGATTGCGGTTTGGCCATGCCCCCCAGAGAATGATTTCTCATTTTTCTTCTCACTGACTCTGTCTCTCTCCAGCAAACACACGTGTCTCATGGCAAAAAATCCTCTAAAAAAAAATGATGAAAGGAGATCAAGAAAACAATATATGAACAAAATAAGAATAAAGACAAAAACATTATAAAAATTTAATTAACAACGTATGAACAAACAATTTATGAACAAAATTCAATAAAAAGAAATTTTAAAAAGGAACTAAACATCCACTGCAGCAAAAGTATGAAGAGTCTTCAAAAGTTAAACATAGAATTATCACATAATCAAGTAATTCCACTTGTAGATATATACCCAAAATAAACAAATTCAAAGACTCAAACTGATATATGTACAATGAATGCTCATAGCAAGATTATTTCACAAAGTGAATTCAACTCAATTTGTCTACAACAGAGATGACCCTAGAAAATATAATGCTAAGTGAAATAAACCAGATACAAAGGGAAAATACATGTTTTACACTTAGATGAATTACATAGAATATGTAAATTTATAAAGAAAATAGAATGCAGATTAACAGTAACTGGGAAAAGGGAGAAATGAAGTTATTCTTTAATGGGTAGTTCTTATTGGGAGGATAAATAAGTTCTCAAAATAAAAGATATGATAATTACACATTATGAATGTACTTACATATTGGTT